AGAGAGAGAGAGAGAGAGAGAGAGAGAGAGAGAGAGTGTGTGTGTGTGTGTGTGTGTGCAAGGGAGGGACAGAGAGAGAGAGAGAGAGAGAGAGAGAGAGAGAGAGAGAGAGATGGGATCGCGACGGAGGAAGATCCGAAGCGAAAAGAAGAGACAGAAGGAAGAGAGATGTATGTGCGGCTTATCTGCTGCACTGACCGAATGTACACGCGCGCATTCACGTAAATGTAACAAAAGTATGCTGGTAAGAGAGAAATATGCGACACGAAGGGGTAGAGAGCCGAACCGATGGCAATATCGAAACGAGACGGATGTAAAGTGTCAAGAGGGTGTGCCGTCTATACACTTCACTGCTGCTATCAATTGTACACTTTTCTCCACTTCGTCGTAACTCGTTATTAAAACACGCACCACACCGAAAAAAATGAACCAAGCTACACCGAGAGCCGAAGCAACGCGAGCGGCGGAGAGACCACGTAGAGATTATCGCCTGCTTCGCTGTCGTCTTCAGCCCCAGTGGTTGCCACTGGTGCGGCACAATCGTTCCGATTCACCTCGTTGCAGTCTTTGTCAGGATTGTCCCTTTTTATCGTTGTCCTCGTCGTTTCGGTCGTCGTCTTCCCAATCCCCGTCGCTTCTTTTCTCGCGTCTTTCCTTTCGTTTCACCGTTTTCCTCGTTCCTCCTTCCTCGTTCTTTCCAATCAGTTCGTTCGTTCGGCTGTTCCGTTCTTCGCCGCTTCGTCTTCTTCTCGACAGAGAGAGAGAGAGAGAGATGTGTCGCGAAACCTTCCTATCTTTTTCGGTGCTTTCCGTCGGGTCTCGTCTTCGTCCGTTCTACCTCGCGCGTGGCCTCGCACCTTTTTATTCTTTTTTGTTGTTTTACTATCGTACAAATTCCACGAAGCACTACCAATACAGCATGTTACAAAAATAGAGTTTGTGTTCCCTTAAATAAAATAAATGTACAATTAATTGTTACTTGTGGTTAGGAAACATTTAGTGTATGTGTTGTCTTGTAGGTAGAGTCTAAGCTACTGCCCGGCGAGGTTCGCCCATCTTGCCCGAAACTGAGGAGAGTCGTCGCACGGCGGCGCTGTTGTCCTACCACCAACGGTGGGGCTCCGGCGGCCGCACCTGTCTGCACGACCGCCACTCAACACACGCTCGCTCCGTATCACCGAAAGCCGTAAGCCGTATGCGCTATATGCTCGCACGCCTGCACGTTGTACGCTCGCACGTTCGCACGCTGTACGGCTGTACGGCTGTACGGCTGTACGGCTGTACGTAACGCAAGACTACGAGACCGAAATCTTATAAGCTCGCCGGGCGGGACGAGAACGCAGCTAACAGTGTTCCGTCGCGCAACCGACGAAGATAAACCGAGTCTTGTCTCGATTGCCTAAACGGATGACGTAGCGCGAATAGAGTGGTTCCCGCGATGCCCGTGGTGCCCGTGGTGCCCGAGGAGCCCGCGGTGCCCGTGATGCGATCGCGACGTCGCAGTATTCTCGACGAATTTCGGCTTCGGCTTTAGCTTCGGCGTGGCGCAGTTGGCAGACATGCGAATCAACGAGTGTCGAGCAGAACGGAGACCGCTTCTAACAACGCCTCGTCGCAGAGAAGGACCGCCGATGAAGGACGATGCGAGGGAACAGAATGAAAAAAGAAGAGAGAGAGTACGGACGACAGACAGTGGCGGGTGATGGTGTACTCACCCCCGTATCGGCTCGCTCTTTCGTTCATTCGCTCGCTCGCTCGTTCGTTCGTTCTTTAGTTCGTTCGTTCGTTCGTTCGTTCTTTAATTCGTTCGTTCGTTCGTTCGTTCGTTCGTTCGTTTGTTAGCTCGCTCACGGCCCTTGACGATGCGGTAATAAACGTGTGTGCTGTATGCCCTCTTATGTAGAAATCTACCCGAGATAATACCAAAGGCTCCTCTCCTCTCGTTCTCACTCATCGAGCATCTACTAAAGAAGAAAAACCGGTAGGTATTTAGCGTCTCGTTTCCTCCTGACCGCCGTCTCGTTGGCTCTTTCTTTTCATAGGAGGAGATCGATTCTTTCGGCCCTTTCGTCGGTATCCGACGAGGTTCTTTTGCACCTTCTCGCGAGAGACTCTCGTTATCGATCGTGGAACGACCTCACTCGCTTCTCCTACTCCCTCGAGGTCAGGAGACAAGATTTTCCTGTCGCTTCTCTTCTCCTCCCTTCTTTTTCTTTTCTTTCTCTCTCCTCTCTCCTCTTCTTTCTTTCCTTCTATTTTCTCCTCTCTCTCTCTCTCCTCNTCTTTCGGCCCTTTCGTCGGTATCCGACGAGGTTCTTTTGCACCTTCTCGCGAGAGACTCTCGTTATCGATCGTGGAACGACCTCACTCGCTTCTCCTACTCCCTCGAGGTCAGGAGACAAGATTTTCCTGTCGCTTCTCTTCTCCTCCCTTCTTTTTCTTTTCTTTCTCTCTCCTCTCTCCTCTTCTTTCTTTCCTTCTATTTTCTCCTCTCTCTCTCTCTCTCTCTCTCTCCTCTCCTCTCCTCTCCTCTCCTCTCCTCTCCTCTCCTCTCCTCTCCTCCTGTTTACATCAATGATCAAACTCGATTATTTTCTTCGCGGACGTCGACGTTTCTCATTCACAGCGTGCTATTGTACAACGTCGTAACGATCTTCTTCCGAATGGATCTTCCGAGCAATATGTAGTCGTTTCGAATATCGTTACACCCAGTGTTTGTTTCGTTTTCCGTCAAATATTGCCGCGACAGTTGGATCTAATCGAAATTGTACTATATTATAGAAATTGTAGGGTTAAAATGAAACGGAGTACTGCATTCTTGAACCAATACCGTTACGAAACGGTTCGACTATTCTTTATAATTTTGTGTCATACATGTAATCGAGTAGTATTTATGCGAAGATCGATCGTTGCATCGTATAATATTGTGGAAGAATATTTTGTCGAGACCGAGAGACTACAATTTGGCGACCATAATACCGTTGTAAACTACAAATAGAAAACGATGGCCATAAAAGATCTTTATTGGACTAAAGAGAAAGCGACAGAGAGAGGGGGTCGGGGGTTGACGGGGTAACAAAGGACAGGGACCTTTTCCCCAAGGTCCCAAGATATACAAAGGTCCCAAGATAAAGATTTATGCTCGCTGTTTTCGCAGCAACGTCAACGTGACGCACGCTTCCGTTACAACGACGCTTGTACCGTCGACGATGAACGAAGGAAATCGTTCCATGGCCGATGGATCGGGGTCACCATTCGGTTTCACCGAGGGTACGATCGACTCATTGTCAGTCGTTAACATCGACCGAGCGCGTTTCCCTGGTTTTGCCGTCGCCGGTCGGCAGACCGTGCAGCAGACATCGACGAGACACAATCGAGAAACCAGGCCACTTTGTTTCGACCGATGTCATTTCTTGCGTCTTTCCTTCTCGCTTCCTCTCGCTCCCTCTCTTTTGCCACAAAGTCACGGACAAGGTCAAGGCCGTTGCTCTTGGTTTCTCGACATCCTCCGCAATCTCCTTCGGATTATCTCCCTCTTCTTCTCTGCCTCCTCTCGTTCTTCGTACTCTCCTTTCCAATCGTACTCTCCTTTCCAATCGTTTTTGCTCATCGATCGCAGGGTTAAATTGCAACAACGGTGGAAATACACATTTTTTAAGAGACGTTCGAAGGCCTCTCGCGGACAACGTTTTATGGACGATCGTTGGAAACAATTTGCGTAACGATGCAGATTCACCGATCGGAGTAGCCTCGCCTCGCCTCGCCTCACCGGGTACTCGATTCCGTGATTCATTCGCGTTGGTAGAAACGCGATAAAGACGGATGGACTTTTTATTTTTGTACGAACATTCCGCGTGTTCCCCTTTTCCCATCGATCCCCTTCCGCCTCGCTTCCACCAGCCTTCCTTCCCGCTTGTTTTCCGCGAAGAATATTCCACCGTCTCTTCGGAGCCGCGCAACTTCCTCGGAGCTGAAACAAAAATGTCCTTTATTAGAACGAAACGATGTCACCTGGTCGACTCGTTCTACCACGCGTGGAATTGCACCGAGTCGAGAGAGAGAGAGAGAGAGAGAGAGAACGGCAACCGCTCGGACGTTCCGCTGCTACTCGTATCGAACAGGTTGTTTCTACCGATTGCACGAAAAACCACCCACGCACACGCGTAAGCCGAATAAAGTTATTGGAAGAGAATCGATGCGGCTGGTTTTCGGTAACAAACGATTGCGTAGAGTCGCGCGTCGCGTCTTTCCGCTATGCTATGGAGGACCGCTACGGTTCGCTTTGGTTCGCTTTATCGCTAGTCGCGCGGTTCCGCATAAAACGCGTCACGAACCTTGGGAAATCGTCCGATCGTTTCTGTTCTATTCGAGACACGTCGAAATCCATAATAATATCTCTAAACGTTTAAACCGTTCGACCACCGAAATGTCCGAAAATGCATATAAATAAAATACAAATGAATCAGGAATCAGGTTTTGCAACAACGTCGACTAAAAATTGGAGATACATAGTTATTACCGATCGATAGTTTCGATAAAAAGATGAATCGGCATCGAATACATTACCGTCGAAGCGACAGTTTTCTAATCAGCTAAATTCGCGGGGAACCAATATTTTTTTACGAATCGTCTCGACGACGATACTCTCGATTTGGTTGGCAAATCGGGATACTCGAGCCGTAGAAAATTCGCGCGTGTCGCATCTCGCGACGAGAAACTCGTCGCGGTTACACCAAAATTCTCTAGGGACACTCGGGTCAACAGGAAGTCAAGGCCACGCGGTCAACTGCCCCGCGATCCGTCGACGTTTATAAATAGATACAAACGGCCGGTATCTGCATCTACGCGTCTATTTGCACGCGTGCTGTTCAAATCTGAATCGGAGTTACCTCGGCTGGACCTGGCCTGTACTCGTACGATTCTGCTTTTTCCCCTTGTAACGACCAAATCCCACATTCGTCGAGCCAATGTCTAATGAACGGTATCGATCGTTCAATCCCTTGACTCTTCGCTTGTCGCTTGCCGCTCGCCGCTCGCCGCTCGCCGCTTACCTTTTACCGTTCATGTTTCATATCCCCTAATGCTAACGTAAAGCGTCTCCTATTCATCTGTCGCTGCGTTACTAGTTACTCACCGTTACTCACCGATTCGACACCATTTCCAACGATTACGAAGCTTCTTCTTCTACCTTTTGCGTAGAATCGAACCAAACGATATTTATTTGCCATTTTGAAGAAAAATAGTTTCCGCGAAACAAGAAAGAGTATTCGTAGATCCGTTGGATGGTAGATGCAAGTCGCTACCGGACACGGCTTATAATATATCATTCGACGCCGATTATTCGCTTCTTTCGACGCGATGTCGTTAGGAATACTCTAGATAGATCGTCCCTCGTAAGGAAGCAACCGTTAAAAACGAAACAGATCTAACAGCGATCGACCGTTTTGCATTCTGCGATACTGGAAATTACGCGAACGGGTTGATCGGCCGTGGATCGAACCGTATGGAAATCTCGATCGAAGACGCCCAAGTATTTTCTTCGGTTTAACCTTGATTCCTCGTTGATTTTCTTTATCGTCGACGTTTGCCATTTCTACGACCGTCTCTGTCCTTTGGGCGCTTTTCACCCTGCTTTCATCGAAGCGATCAAATATTTGTTCGCGCTTTTCCTTCCGTTACTCGTATACCTTTTTCATGTAAATTATTGCCTTTTCGTTGTCGCGCAGCAATCGCGATTGCAATCGCGATTGCAACCACGAATGCAACCACGAATGCAACCGCGACTGCGACTGCGACTGCGACTGCGACTGCGACTTGGATGCAATTCATCGAAAGATACAGTTCCGCGGACAAATTCAAGGGGAATAAACCTGTACCACCCTATACCGGTAGAATATATTATCTCGGGGTCATTGCCCGAACGATCTTTGGGGGTTCCGCTATACCTAGAACGAGGGCGAGGTGCCTCGGAATACAGAATGCAGATATCGACCACTTTCCCCAAAAGCTGAAACGCGAAGATGAGATAAATAACGGTTCGACCGTCGCAACAGTTCCAACGCTTGAACAACTTTATTCCAACGCGTTTGTGCCTTTGTTTCTGGCAAAGTGTGAGCGATCTTCCATTCGCCGGGCCGCGCCGCGCCGGAACGAAATTTAATTCGTTGTCGCTCGAGACGGAGAAAGGAGGAAAAGCCTGTTCGATCGCCGACAAAGAAATTTTGCAATCGCAAGATTAATAGATGCGGCGGCAGGCTGATCTAGCGACTCTGATGGCGTACGGTCGGAGAAGGTGGGAGCGGGAACGGGAACGGGAACGGGAACGATAACAAGAACGAGAACGGAAACGAGGAACGAGGCATAAGGATAAAGTTCGATTCTCTCGGACGCGGACAGGATGGGATGGCTCGGGAGCGAGCCGAAGGACGAGGACAAGAACAAGGATGAGAGGAGTGTCTTCTAGGTAGGAGGGAGAACAGGGATAAGGGTTGTTGGACGGATGGCCATACCTTTTGGGGCAGTGGCCCTTGCCGCGATGCTTCCGAGGGTGAGGAGGGGCAGACGAGGACCTACGCGTTATTGAGCGGGCATTTCCCACAAAGCGCAGACGAGGGCAACCACCCCGTAGCGCTGCGGCGCGGCGCGCAGAATTCTCCACTCTCTCCTTCCACTCCCTCTCTCACCCTCTCCATGTTTCTCCCTTTTCCACGCTTCATCGCGATCTCTCTCTCTCTCTCTCTCTCTCTCTCTTTCTCTCTCTGTCCCTCCCTATCTATCCATCTATCCATCTTCTATATTTCCCTTCGGCACTTTTATCCTTTCCTATCACTTTCTTTTCTCATTTCTCTCTTCCTCGTAGACTCTTCGTAATTGCTGCATCCTTCTCCGTGATTTTGCCGAAGCAAGCGCTGGTCCTGTAAACGTGCGAACGCTCGCGACACCGAGCGAAATTCTACGAACGATCTATTCCATAACCAAAGCTTGCGCGCGGAACAGCCAAGACGTTTTCGTTCAACGTTTCCGCCATTTGTTGTTTTTCGCGAAATGCAGCACCAAGAGGTCGTTCGAAAAATCAATTAACATACACTTTCAAATTAGAGAACGATAAAGGGAAAATACATCGAATAACCGAACCATCGTCCGCGTTATAAGTAGTCGAAACATCGAAGATTCCCCGAATCATTTAAAAGTCTAAAATGTCTGAAATTAGATCTTGCGAAGAAGCTAAAGAGAGGACTACTCCTTTCTTTCTTCCCCTTTTCCTTTCTCTTTTCCTTCGACGTCTTCGACCGCTTTCCTTCCAGTCTGTCTCAAGTTTCTTCTATTTTGGCAATCGCATCGAATCTTGCTCGCGCAATTCGAAAGAAAACGATACGAAATCGAATTTAGCATTTCATCGGACAATCTTATCCTAGTTTCCGACCTTCTGTCGCGTGGATTGTTGCGTGGCCTGTTTCGGGCCGCAATAATTCATTCTCGCAATAATTCATTCTCGCAATAATCCGCACACCGGACAACTTAAGTACGGCTTTCGAGTTCAGAGTTCCACTATTCTTATTTATATTTTTGCGTATATTTCTCTGCGCGTGTCCCAAAGTCACCGCTTCGTCTACCTAAATCATTTTATTTAACATAAAATTGCACGTAAACTGCAAATTCCCTTCGGGCGAGAATTGTTTGAACGAAAATTCAACTTGTGCAATATGAAAAGATTTTGATTAAGCCTGTACGAAGCGTTCTTGTGTTGTATACATACATACATATATATATTTTGGACGTGAAAGATGAATGTTCAAATTTTTTGAAAACATTTTTCGAATTAATGGAAATCGGCAGAAATCAACAAGTACTAACTCCCATGAAAACATCGGGGAAAGAAGCATGGATGTATCGATCTTACCCATAGGGACTTAGCAGGATTAGGACATCACGGTAGCCACCCACGACGAAGCATGGGGTACCATGGAGTAGTGGAAGAAGAAGCTTGTAACCCTTAGCAACATGTTGCCGTTCATATCTGACATCTTTCAGACTACTTTATCATCTTTTCGGGTACATCGGGTCAAATTCCAATTTCAACCTTCCTTCCTTCCTTCCTTCCTTCCTTCCTTCCTTCCGCCCTTCCTTCCTTCCTTCCTTCCTTCCTTCCTATCTTCCTTTCTTCCTTTCTTCCTTTCTTCCTTTCTTCCTTTCTTCCTTTCTTCCTTTCTTCCTCCCTTCCTTCCATCTTTCCATTCAGCAATTTAAAAAAATTTCTACATAACGTTATTCACAGAGTCGAACGAATTTTATCTCGTCATTATCGAATAGTGCGAGTTCGTGGATCGTATTGATTCATGATGGAAGGAGAGGGGAAGAACAGACACGCTACTTGTTCTTGTGGTATAAATCACCTAATAAAGCAATATACCACCCTCGATTTGCACCCTCCGCCTCACATTCGACCCTTCGATAGACTACGCGCTCACAATCTACATACATACATGTACCGGGTGTATACAAATATTAGTAGATCGATGTCTTTCAAGTCCTAGATCCTAGGCCCTATGACGTTGATTCGCGAGAATCCAAAGAAGTTGAGTCAAGGAACGTTATCTCTTGACTCGTTGGGTATGTATATACTACCTGTCCACGAGAAGATGGCACAGATGTCGACAGTGGGATGTGGGAAGGCCTCGCTCTTAGGTATGCGTAATCCGTGTATATGTAGTAGGTAGATGGGATATCGGGTGTGGTGGGGAATAAATCCCTACAAGTGTCTCTGTCTGTGGCGCGACATCTTCTCGTGTGCGGGCAGTACTGGATAGTACATAGATTTCTGTCATATATATATATATATACCAGGGCCAACGATATCGTACAAATTATAAAATTCGTAAGCGATAGTTGTGTTATCCGGTGCACGCTATTACACGAAGATCAAATGTAATCGATAGACTGTGGATTTTATTCGTTTATCACGAAAATGGCGATCCGTAATTTAAAAGAATAGATAGATTAAAAGCAATTAATATTTTTAACTACTTCTCGTCGTGCAGACACTTTTTTTTATCGTGGATTATGTAGATTTTTCGAAGAAAACGATTGTTTTTTCACAATTGGTTAACCTTTTTTTTCTCTCGATTTGTCGATCAAACAAGTTTGAATCTTCGTCCTTGCACGGTGCACGCGTACTTCATACTTCGTATCGTATTATCTAGGATGTACGATGTGTGCATGTAGTCAGGTAGGTATGTACAATGTGTAATTGTCGCGTGCAAAGTGTCAACATGGAAGAGAGCTCGTCTCGAGTAGAGCTAGATCGCTCGAATGAAAAAAGACCCCAATTTGGCAACAGAACTATCTCTGACAATGACGATGTATTCCAGCACAATGCATGGTAGAGATTCGATGTGTTTGAATTTTGTACCGATAAATTTCCTTCGAATACCGAAACGGATAATTTCCGCAGAATTCACAAATTTTAACCTAAAAGTTATATTTTCATTAAAACGAAGATACGCGCACCTACTAACGATAAGCGAATGCAGAATGTTCCATCTCGACTAAACATTATATTGGAAAAGCATATTTATTACATATGTGTATGTCTACCTAAGAAATTAGGAACTCCAATTGAGAGATGTACATTCGTTTAATCTCGTTCAACGATCAAACATGTTTCTCCATTAATTAAATTAGTCGACGAANCTCTTTCTTCCTTCCTCCCTTCCTTCCTTCCTATCTTCCTTTCTTCCTTTCTTCCTTTCTTCCTTTCTTCCTTTCTTCCTTTCTTCCTTTCTTCCTCCCTTCCTTCCATCTTTCCATTCAGCAATTTAAAAAAATTTCTACATAACGTTATTCACAGAGTCGAACGAATTTTATCTCGTCATTATCGAATAGTGCGAGTTCGTGGATCGTATTGATTCATGATGGAAGGAGAGGGGAAGAACAGACACGCTACTTGTTCTTGTGGTATAAATCACCTAATAAAGCAATATACCACCCTCGATTTGCACCCTCCGCCTCACATTCGACCCTTCGATAGACTACGCGCTCACAATCTACATACATACATGTACCGGGTGTATACAAATATTAGTAGATCGATGTCTTTCAAGTCCTAGATCCTAGGCCCTATGACGTTGATTCGCGAGAATCCAAAGAAGTTGAGTCAAGGAACGTTATCTCTTGACTCGTTGGGTATGTATATACTACCTGTCCACGAGAAGATGGCACAGATGTCGACAGTGGGATGTGGGAAGGCCTCGCTCTTAGGTATGCGTAATCCGTGTATATGTAGTAGGTAGATGGGATATCGGGTGTGGTGGGGAATAAATCCCTACAAGTGTCTCTGTCTGTGGCGCGACATCTTCTCGTGTGCGGGCAGTACTGGATAGTACATAGATTTCTGTCATATATATATATATATACCAGGGCCAACGATATCGTACAAATTATAAAATTCGTAAGCGATAGTTGTGTTATCCGGTGCACGCTATTACACGAAGATCAAATGTAATCGATAGACTGTGGATTTTATTCGTTTATCACGAAAATGGCGATCCGTAATTTAAAAGAATAGATAGATTAAAAGCAATTAATATTTTTAACTACTTCTCGTCGTGCAGACACTTTTTTTTATCGTGGATTATGTAGATTTTTCGAAGAAAACGATTGTTTTTTCACAATTGGTTAACCTTTTTTTTCTCTCGATTTGTCGATCAAACAAGTTTGAATCTTCGTCCTTGCACGGTGCACGCGTACTTCATACTTCGTATCGTATTATCTAGGATGTACGATGTGTGCATGTAGTCAGGTAGGTATGTACAATGTGTAATTGTCGCGTGCAAAGTGTCAACATGGAAGAGAGCTCGTCTCGAGTAGAGCTAGATCGCTCGAATGAAAAAAGACCCCAATTTGGCAACAGAACTATCTCTGACAATGACGATGTATTCCAGCACAATGCATGGTAGAGATTCGATGTGTTTGAATTTTGTACCGATAAATTTCCTTCGAATACCGAAACGGATAATTTCCGCAGAATTCACAAATTTTAACCTAAAAGTTATATTTTCATTAAAACGAAGATACGCGCACCTACTAACGATAAGCGAATGCAGAATGTTCCATCTCGACTAAACATTATATTGGAAAAGCATATTTATTACATATGTGTATGTCTACCTAAGAAATTAGGAACTCCAATTGAGAGATGTACATTCGTTTAATCTCGTTCAACGATCAAACATGTTTCTCCATTAATTAAATTAGTCGACGAATACCTACCTACCTATCTTTTCCTTTTTATAAGCATCGAAAATTATTTTTTCAAGGGACAATGTGATGTGGAACGAGGAACAAGAAAACCTAGCGCAACAGAAAGTCGATGAAAACTCAATTGTGACTCTTTCGGACGAAAAAATATGCGAGTATGAACAAGAAGCTAATAAATATTGGGACAAATTTTATGGAATTCATGCCAATAAGTACGTAGATAAATCGTATCCACGATCGATTATTTTTAGTATTTTCATATACATTTTAGATTTTTCAAAGACAGACATTGGTTGTTTACCGAGTTTCCAGAATTAGCTCCAACTACGGCGAATCGAGATATTAAGCAACCTTCGAGGTATACGGCAGAGGTCCGAGATAAAAATAATGCTAAAAGCGATAGAACAAGTTTTAATCTTCCCGATAGTGGCGCGAACAAAATTCTAGAAATTGGTTGCGGAGTAGGAAACTCTGTGTTTCCGATACTTTTATACAATGTAGATCCCAACTTGTTCGTATACTGTTGTGATTTTTCTACAAAAGCGATAGATATACTCGAGCAAAGTCCCGCGTACGATACATCCAGGTGTAAAGCATTCGTATTAGATGTCACCCGAGAGGAATGGACAACGCCTTTTGATCCAGAAAGTTTGGACATTGTAATTTTAATATTTGTCCTCTCCGCGATACATCCGAACAAGTAAGCTCATATGTATATAGGCTACCGGACAAATGTATTCGGATACCTTCTAAAATGCGATAACTTTTTTCGAACTGGACGAAATGAATAATAAAAATAATAAAAGACTCTCATTTTTAAGTTATCAGGATCTATAAAACGGATTATTTAAGTTTTCGTTATTTTAGTCATTTTCTGGTAGACTACTCCTTCTATTATCTAAAAAAGAATTCGAGTCATTTAGACTGGATTTAAAAAGGTTGCTAGATTTTGAAAGGTATCCGAATACATTTGTCCGGTAATCTCTATATATATCGTGGTATTTACATTCATTTTCAATTATGCTTCTTGCGCAGAATGAAACATGTCTTGCAACGAGTATACAAATATTTAAAGCCAGGTGGGTTGGTGTTATTTAGAGACTATGGACGGTACGATTTAGCGCAGTTGCGATTTAGAAAGGGTAGATGCCTCGCAGAGAATTTTTACGCTAGAGGCGATGGAACCCGAGTATACTTTTTTACTCAAGGTACTACATTTAACTATTCGTATCGGTGTCATGAAAATCGTTTAATTCCGAATAGCTTATTTCATTTATAGAAGATGTAAGGACTTTGTTTACCAGTTGTTGCTTCACGGAAGAACAAAACCTAATAGACAAGAGATTGCAAGTTAATAGGGGCAAACAACTGAAAATGTATAGAGTATGGATTCAAGGAAAATATAGAAAATAAAGGATATTATGTATTTTCGCGTATTCATGTATTTTACATTGTAAAATTTGTAATTGTTAAGAAATGATTTCTTCTTTTGTACATAATAAATTCACAATTTCGATTTCTGAATTCGTAATATAGTTTTTACTATAATTGCGTATCTAACGGTTGCGCACTAACAATTATTCATTGTAAAAATTAAACAAATTAACAGAGAAACTAGTAAAGTGAAAGTTTTTGAAAAAATTACGTCTTTTCGTCTAAAAGGATCTATATATGTATGCGTTCATCTGTGTTGGGAAAGATATCGTCTACTTATTTAACAACAGAGGGTAACATTAAGCATAAAGAGAAATCCTTATTGGTAACGCTCTGTTCCGCTATTCAGCGTGTAAACATGGCGGTGACTGTGATCGTTCTTGTTTAGTAAGAGACGGGTCATTTTTCTAATGCAATTGTGGAACAATTAACTACAAGTTGACAAAAACTTCATCATCATGGGAAACGCTGACACAAAATTGAATTTTCGCAAAGCGGTTGTTCAATTGACATCGAAAACGCAGGTATAAATTGTTGTTTATTGTTGTAATCCGATAGCATATGATACGTTTGACATTTCGGTATATCTGAGTAGAAATTAAATTATAAAGAGTAAATTATCATTTACAATTGTCTTTTGCTAATGATCACGATTTTTGTATTTTTAATTTTGTTAGAAACGCATTTGGACAAGTATGGTTAGGTTAAAAAAAGGCAGTACATATTTCTATACTTAATTGTAGGTGATCGACGCTGCAGACGATACATTTTGGGATCAATTTTGGTCTGAAAATGTGACTAATGTTCAAGATATATTTACTTTAATTCCTGCACCAGAAATTCGTGTATTAAGAGAGGAAGTACCATGTAATTTAGCTACATTATGTTATAAGGCAGTGGAAAAAATGGTGAAGGCAGTCGACAACAGCTGTAGAACACAGAGAGAACAGCAAACTGTTTTAAATTGTTGTCGTTTGTTAACAAGGTTGTTACCTTACATTTTTGAAGATGCCGATTGGAAAGGATTTTTCTGGTCTAGTCTACCAGGTAAAGAAGAAGAAGAAAGCGTTCCTTTGGCACATTCCTTGCTTAATGCACTTTGCGTAAGATCATTTATTTATTTGTACGACATATAACAAAATCATTATTTTCTATACCTAGCGTGTTGTTTATTTTTACATTTATGTTGTAGGATTTGTTATTTTGTCCCGATTTTACGGTAGCTGCGAATAGAAAGTCTGGACCTGTAAGTATTTTCTTCGGTAAACTTGTCGAAGCGCAACTTCTATCGATTGTCTCGCGTTTTTTGGCAACGTACGAAATATCTGAGAATTATTTTAATATTATGCACAATTTTCCGGCATTATTGGGGATAGGTCTTTAGGTGAAAATAAGTCACCCGATCTATTTTAATTATCAAACAATTACCAAATTATTGAAATAATTCTCGAATATTTCATCTTTTGCTTAAAAACGCGAGGCATTCTATACAATGCCTGCATTTCATACATTGGCGATAACATCATATAGATATAGAACCATTTTTGTAAATATCTGGGAAACGAAGGCCGAGTATTTCAAGGTCATCGAGCTCGTTGAGGAAGACCCTTTCCTAAATAAGTACTGAATTTTTGCGAAGTCTTTTGCGAATATCTCGTAAACTAAACATATTTGAACTCATTGAAATCAGCTTGGAAGTAGCACTTCGTCAAGTTTATCTTTTCTCCTATTTAGGAAACCAGGACATTTAAGAGTATCCGTTTTGCAGGATAAGGCAGAGGAGTTACAATCTATAGATAGTTGCGAATACATTTGGGAAGCTGGTGTAGGGTTTGCTCACTCGCCTCCGAGATATCCAATTTTGGATTCCAATAGAACCGAGTTACTAAAATTGTTACTCACATGCTTCAGTGAAACCATGTATAATCCACCCATGGATCTTTCTATTACTCCGAACAGGTGGATTCAGCATTTAACTAGCGCTGAAAATAGGTGAATTGTAACAGCTCTTATTACAAGCTGATTGGGCGTAACAATCAATTTGTATAACAAACTACTTGAAATATCGTTGTATTCGTTTTAGACACGCTTTACCTATGCTCACGTCACTACTGAATACAGTGTGTGCCTATGATCCTGTTGGACTCGGAGTACCTTACAATCATTTATTATTTACCGACTCTTTAGAACCGCTAGTTGATGTTTCATTGCAAATTCTTATAGTAACGTTAGATCACGATACTAGTGGCGGTGCCCCATTAGAAGAGGGAACTCTAGGAGATAATTTATTTATTAATTATTTAAGTCGTATCCATAGAGACGAAGGTGAAACTTTTCTTCGTGTTTCATACAATCGTTGATCGATACTGCTATATACAACATACTATGTATGTAGATAAGATTGTACTTAAAGACTGGCACTTTTACAGATTTTCAGTTTGTATTAAAAGGTATTACAAGATTATTGAATAACCCGCTGATGCAAACGTATTTACCAAATTCAACTAAAAAAGTACACTTTCATCAGGAGTTGTTGGTATTTTTTTGGAAGATGTGCGATTATAATAAAAAGTTTCTATATTATGTACTGAAAAGTTCAGACGTCCTCGAAGTACTGGTACCCATATTGTATCATCTGAATGACTCGCGTGCAGATCAATGTAAGCATTCGTGTTACCAAGAAATTCTAAAAATAAATAATTCGTGTAAGTTACATGTAACTTTTCAACATTTCAATGAATTTCGTAGCCCGAGTTGGATTGATGCACATCGGTGTGTTTATCCTGCTTTTGTTGAGCGGTGAACGGAACTTTGGTGTTAGACTGAATAAACCGTATACAGCCACGGTACCAATGGATATTCCAGTTTTTACAGGTATTCGAATATAGTTTTGGTTAATTTCAAACTAAACTACAAGTTTGAGTTACAAATGCAACACGTCTACAGGTACACATGCCGATTTACTAGTTACCGTATTCTACAAGATAATCACTACCGGTCACCAAAGATTGCAGCCGTTGTTCGATTGTCTACTAACAATTCTAGTCAATGTTTCTCCATACCTTAAAACACTATCGATGGTAGCTAGTACAAAATTATTGCATTTACTTGAAGCATTTAGTACACCATGGTTCTTATTCTCAGCACCTACGAATCATCATTTAGTGTTTTTCCTTCTTGAAATTTTTAATAATATCATTCAGGTAATAATAATTCCATATGATTTCTCTTGCCAAGAAGATAGCCGGCTAGAATAAATGTAACAAGAACTTCGTATGTTATTAGTACCAATTTGATGGCAATAGTAATTTGGTGTACACGATAATACGTAAAAGACAAGTGTTCCATGCATTGGCGAATTTACCAAGTGACCGTAATACAATCGCAAAATCTCTTAGTAAAAGACAACGCCGACATGTTCCCGCAAGTACGTCTAGCGAGAATGTTAATGAAGCTGCGATGGAGGGATCTCATCCTGCTCAGCCGGCAGAACCTGGAACCTTGAAAGCATCTTTGTTGGAAACTCCAGGTAAATTTTCGGTTATTATATTACGACGGTTAAACTGCCAGAACTTTTGTTGGTAAATTGCTTCGTGCTTATACTGCAGGCATTGAAAAAATGACCGAGAAAGAATCTGCGCATCCGTTAAGCCCTTCGGTAAACGTTGACGTGGGAAAACTCAATCATCAAAGTAATACAGATAGTTCGGAGGATTTAACAACCTCTATTAAAACTTCAGTTATACCGGTAAACAGATTGTACAAATGTAAGAATGTCAAATAGGAGAAATAATTTTGCTGATTCAACAGAAAGGAGGTATCAGGGTTGCCGAGCATACAAGTGCATCCAACAATGTAAACCAGTGGGTTCCTTCGAGCGAGTGGGTCTATCAATGGAAAAGTAAACTTCCATTGCAAACTATTATGCGATTACTTCAAGTTCTTGTACCTCAAGTTGAGAAAATATGCATCGATAAGTAAGCGAATAATATGTTCGACAAGACATCCTAAAATAAATGTTACCTTAATCGCGCGTATACACGTATGTATAGTTATTATACTATAGTAAGATTGTATTTGAATTATTATTTTATTTTAGGGGTCTAACAGATGAAAGCGAAATTTTGAAGTTTTTACAGCATGGTACCTTGGTTGGCCTGCTACCGGTACCACACCCTATACTTATTAGACGATATCAACCGAACGCAGGAACAACCGCATGGTTCAGAACATACATGTGGGGCGTTATATATCTGAGAAACGTTGAACCACCGATCTGGTATGATACCGACGTAAAGTTGTTCGAGATTCAGAGAGTCTAAAACCCAGTTCATACTATTATAGAACGAGTGAATCATGAATAGTTTTAGCACCGAAATTTGTATGCTACTCTGTCTCACAATGTATCGTATCTATAATACGAAAAACTAAATCTTACGAATCCATAATTTTCATAAGTTCATAGCTCAATGGCTTGCTCAAGCGCGCCAGATTAGTTTGCCTCTTATATACGTCCGTAGTAACAGTGGATGCGTTAGAATACGTTGGGCGGCTGAGAGTTGGGCTGCCTGAGCTCATCGGGCAGGAATCAGTTCGATGAAACTCAATTTGTGAAACGGTTTTGAAAACATTGCAACAATAAGGTGAAGAATGAATTGTGGCAACCATGTCTAATCGCTAGCCTTTTCTCTCAGTTTTTTTTCTCTCTTCCGCTACCGTTCAATTTTCTTACCTTCCTCAGTCTGTATTTTCTACATTTTTTTCACCGATATGTCGTGTGTGTGATATAGATCGTCGCAAAGAAATACACTCACGTCACCTAGCGATCGAAAATATTACTAATTAGCTTTGTCTAGTGACCGTTCGCACAACTACAGCGCGACGATCAATTCCGTCAAGGTCAAATTGAGAGCCTCTCTCACCACCCTTTAATTGGAAATATTAAAATATGCTATGCGATGACATATATTGTATAGATTTGTTTGAACTACATAAAGCAAAGTTGCTATCTAAGCCAACAATTTATGCGTGTGCATACAGTTTTGACATTAGCAAAGAGAAATTGAATACGATGGTACAATAGTTGGGCTTCACGGGTTAAATAATTTCAGAGACTCGCGAATATGTTGTGTGTGGTTGTGCACACGATATCTACACATTTACTCGTAAAATGTATATGTATAATTAAATATTATAAAACACAAATAACGCTTAGCTTGTATTTTTATTCATTGTTCTATCATAAAATTATTTCATCTACATTGCAGTATCGAATGTTTCACAACTTATAGTAAAAGTGAGCAGTTTATAGATCAAAGACAACCATAGCACTTGATGATATAAATCTTACCTTATTTCGTCAAATAATATTTGTTTTCTTTTCTTGCGAACAATAATATTAATTAATTTAGTATAATTTATAATTATACATAGTTTGTTTCCTTTTGTGTGCAGAAGGTGTTCTTATATTTAAGAGAATATAAAGGAACACATTGCTTCTTGTAAATATTTTAACTTCTATCTATGTTTATGTTTTAATGAAATAAATAACAAGTAAACAGTTAAACATACAAAAACTATGAATGTTTTCTAGTTAATTATAATTTGGCTCGGACATTTTATAATGCCCACAATAATGTCGTCTATGATTCGCGCGAGTCATAGATACTATAAAAAATGATGTTGATGTCACATCACATCACTGTTTGTATCACAGACGTAAAGTTTGCCTATCCTAGGAAATTTCTCTTTTGATGCATTTACTTATTTTTCTTCCTTGCTTTTCTTTTCTTCTTTAAGTAAATCAAAACATCCATAGTGAAATATTTGTGTTCAATAATGTACTCCCAATAATGTATGGTATGCGGGAGAAACGTTTCATCTTTAAAAAATTAAATACATGAGAAAAAAAATAGTCCTATATAATAAAATTTAACATATAGACTCGTTAATATTAATTTATCGCATGACTTTGTCGTACGAAGGAGGAGGAGCTTCCTCCGATGAATTAGGCGGTGGAATTAAAATCGCAATATGATAAGGTGGCGGTGGATTTTGTCTCACTACCGAAATCGGTCTGATAGTTTCGTTGGGCGACGTATTTGGAGCCGTTACGGAAGCAATGTGCTCCTCTGTAATGTGTTCCTCTTGAATATGATGCTCCTGGTGCCTGTTGCGTTGATTTCGTCGGCACAAAGTAAAATGTAAACACGCTAATAGTATTAACGACAACAAGCCCCAAAATACAAATAATTCAACACCTTGTCCCTGTTTAACAAATGTACTCTAGTATTATCGATCCAAAAATCGTATTAAAGATTAAAGATTATCTGCTTCTTCTTTTCTCCAACTTACCTCGTCTCTAAAGTAAAACTTTCCAGCAGCAACGAATCCTATCATAACTATAAATATCGTACAAACGCCGCATCTCAATTTGTAACTTGCTAGTTCCGCATCATTGAATTCCGAGAAATCCAAGAGACTTCTATTCGTGCCATTCGATGTAGTATTGGACAATATCAATTGATTATTCCCAGCTGTTGTTACATTACTGTAACACAAATAAAATGGATCATAGCGTTACAGTTATTGGTTTTATTATAACATTATATTCGTATCCTTGTATAGAAAAGTTATAATCAAGGGCGAATCATTTATAAGTACTTTCTCCTGATAGACATGTATAAGTGAGTCACCCTGTATATAGGAAGAACATGTTCCTCAGAATCCTCTTAGTAGACCTTTGTCTTTAATTACTTAGGGATGTTGTTTGGTTGTGCACGTCGTGAGGAACCAACAGGACAACTATTCCGACTTTCATTACTAATAGGTCTTAACATTGTTTGCGTTGCTCTGCAGTTATTTACATTGCTAGGACCAGCCAAGTTTCCTGTAGCGTTCAGGCTTTGGAACCGATGTAGCGGAGTCACCATTTGTCTCAAATCTGCATTGTATCTACATTGATCTACGAAATGATTACCAGCTCTGATTCTAGAAAGTCGACAGATTCAATGAAACAAAAAAGACATTTGAAGTTTTTAAATAATCTTACTGAAGCGTGTCTTTGGGAGAGGTGTGGCGGGGTATCGGCGGCCAGTGAAACCGTAGTACCTGCCCGCCGGTTTATTAATCCAGAAATGCATGCTCTGTTCGATCCTCTTCAAATACCCATCGTTGTTCCCTGTTCGTTCGAAATCGGAACCTCGATAGGGTCGATGTTTGTTTAATTGCCTTCAGAAACGTTTTTACAGTAGTTTCATGTATACATAGTCTTAACTCAAGTTCCATTGCTCGTACATTTAAAATCGATGCATTGTATCGTCGTAATTCTAGCATTCATTGTTCAAGAGAAAAGATACTTGAAGCAATTGCCAATATATTTATGTAGACGTAGTTTTATCGGCTCGATCGATCGAAATTCAATCGACACGATCAACTTTGCGAATAAATTCAACCTGCACCGTATACAATATGTAAACTGTATTCAAATTGTACACGTCGATACGCGTAACGGAGATGCAACTTGAATTTCTGCCATCGTTAATTTAAAACCAGGTATACCAACGACCAACACTTGCAAAATTTGTTTCCACACACTGTTGTACTCTTAGAACATATATACATAAACATACATATACTTGAACGCAGCATCTACATATTAGTGCCGAGCATGCGACCACTTCGTAGAATGAGATAGCTTCGAGCAGAGTATAATCTGTCTCACTCTAATCTCCAGAATCGAATAAGGAAGTCTCAGGACCCTGTACCTATCTACAATTTTTCTATTAATTTTCTCATTACATTATATATATGTGTGTATATAATTTCATTTATTTATTAGTACATATTTATTTTAATTTAATATGTGGAAAAGATTTCTTAAATAAGGTATACATAATAGTAATAAGGTCGTTTGTTTTATTTTACTCATAAAGATACGTATTTATTATTAGGCCCGGCCAATCCATATCCAATAAAAAGAAACAGGTTATACTCTCTTTGAAGCTATCTCTTTCTACGAACTGGCTAACATCAGTTACATGTTCAGTGACATGTTCTCAACTTCCTCTTAAAACTGGATGCGCACCGTACGTTCTTTAACAAAACCAAATTACACACATACCAACAGTTGATAATACAATTACATATCAAACATGGTAGGTTCAATGTGTACATAAATACACGAGACTAAAAATGTTGAATTTAAGCTATTGGTTCACGAGTTATTTAACAGCTATCGATCGTTAAGTCCAGGAAACTTTTACATGGTGAAAACAATATTAACTATAATGAAGTTAATTACAAAAAGTATATTTCGAATCGAACAGCAATTATTCATACAACATTTGTTTTATTGTACTGAGAGGAATGTACGTGAAAAAAATTTAAAGTTCTTAAAGATTGCAATTTTAGGCTTACCAAATGTTGGAAAAAGTACTTTAGTAAATACTCTTGCACGTAGAATGGTGAGTATTCTGGTGTATCTTTATTTTTCGAAACAGTGTTCGAAATTTAAATAATATTATAATTTAACATGTTTCTTTTTCGAAATAACGTGTTACATTCTGATCGAAGATAAATGTTTTGACATGTGTAGATATGTCCAACGTCTTCAAAAGTTCATACTACGATGCATAAAGCCGAGGTCATGTATTCAGAGGATGAAACACAGATCGTCTTTATGGACACACCTGGATTAATAACGAATTATGAGATGAAAAAGTATAACTTGCAGAAAACATTTCAAGAAGATCCAAAACTGTCGATACAAGAAGCAGATGTTGTAGGAATAATACAAGATGTAACAAACATATATACTAGACATAGATTGAGCAGTTTCATCGTTAATCAATTGAAAACCAAAAAAGATGATGCGCCTTTATTATTAATTTTCAATAAAATTGATAAATTGAAGAATAAAAAAGTATTGTTGGATCTAACAACGCAGCTTATAAAGAATGAGAAACTTCCAAAGTTTGACGATGTCTTCATGATATCTGCTCTCAGCGGAGACGGAGTAAATGATTTAAGGGTATGATTTTTTATTACAATTTAGACAGCGCTATAGTATAGACTTTGTTTGCAAACATAAATTGTATATTTCGATGCTGGTTTCAGAATTATCTACTCGATTGTGCTAAAGAAAGAGACTGGCAATACAGCGAGGACTCGTATACCGATCAATCGATCGAAACTATAGTGAGAGAAACGGTAAGAGCAAAACTTTTGGATCATCTTCCGCAAGATATACCATACATGATTCAAACAAAAATTGAACATTTTGATATTAAAGACGATGGTACTGCCACTGTTTCGGTACTCTTAGAATGCTCTCAAAACTATTTCAAAACTGCTCTATTAAAAAATAAAGGGGAAATGATAAAACTTATTGCGATAGCGGTGGAAAAGGAACTACGACATGCTTTTAGGACTAATATATTAGTGCGTTTGACTGTTGTATAAAATGAAAACATTGGATAAATCTGTTAAATAGTTAATAATAATAATAATAATAATAATAATAATTCTATTTTTTTGTGAAATATCAGTAGCAATTATTAACAACATTATTGTTAAAATTTGGAAAGGCGAAATCGGTTCCTTTCATATTTTCTGCTATCCACTCATCGGCTTTGGCATTAAGAACCGAATCAAACATATCTCTCCAACCATCGCTTTGTCCTTGTCTAACAAATGTTCCTGCTGTTATGATATTGCAATCTTTTAATTCGGATGAATTGACCATCGGATTATTTTTGAAATTTTCGATGTTCAAGTACTGGGTTAGTTGTTTTATTTGTTCCTCCGTATAGACCTTCCCAAGAAATCTGGCAACTTTTCTAATCGCTTTAGGAAAGTCCTAAAAAGAGAAGTTTAAAAAATATGGATTGTTAAAATATAACCGTTAATCGCAATTAATTCGGTAATTCGACTAACATGCTGCATCTCTTCGTAAAACATAAATAAAAGATTTGGATGATTCTTGAAAGACCATGCTTCCTTCAAGTGTTCCCAGTACGGACTCCAGGGTGCTGAAAATATGAAATATGGAGACGATTACGTTACAGATTTTTACAACTTTTACAACTTTTGTAAAAAACTCACTAAGATTATTCTGGAAATAATCCCAAAACATTGGAAAATTCCCCTTATAACCTTGAGTTTTGATTGCCTTATTTAAATGGTACCAGGAAACAGCAACATCTTTTGGATTTCGAGCGACATATACTATCTTCAAAGAAATTCGCACACAATTACTGGTAGTAGCATAACCACCGAAAGGTGACAGTTGCTATTACAAGACTTTCATAATTACCTTGCAACCACAGTCTAGAATCCCAGGCAATAAACTGAATGGAAAATGTGATTTGATAAATCTAGGAGATTCCATTTTTTCGAGACGCTCGTATCCTGGCTTTGCGATATTTCTGCAGAAATCTTCTTTATATCGATCTCCCTTATTCATTTCCAAAAATTCGTTTGTTACTTCCGGATGATTGTACATGCTAAATCTGCGGTCAAAATGATGTTTTTATGATATTTATGATAAATGTAAAATAATCCTTGAATGCTGAATATTATAAAGCTTATAAACTATTAAGAACATAATAACAACAATACTTACTCAAGGAATGGAAATCGTTCTGCGAGCAGCTGCTTTCTAGCCCTTTCGATATCTAAATTGTTCGATAAAAGCCAAACCAATTCTTGTGTCCATGTTGTGCCTCGAAAGGAAATTCGTATCGAATCATTTTACAAAATTGTTTACACCGCATAACACGAACAAAAAGAGCATTAAGAAATATAAAAAAAGAAACATGAGAACTTACCGGACCTCGGATAAGATAAGACCCAAGTATCATCGGACCTTGCTTTGAAATTATAGAATCCATTAGCTTGCTCGGTGTATCTATACGGGAAAAACCATTTTTTGGCACCGACAAGTACCCAACCGGTTCTCTCACCAGCGAATACTTTCAACATCTCTTTGGTCTTTTTCTCGTCTAATGGCTTGTACTGAGGCGGTGTTCGAGCCATTGCGATACGAATAATTCTATAATTCTCATAAGATCACCGATCGCGGTTTACTTGAACAAATTTATTTTGATCGATGCTCATCAGCAACAAACGATAAGATTTCACGTGTGTTTATTTTTGCTTTGTTAATACTACGGTTACCGTCTCGCGGGACGAATGTCCCGCTTTTTTGTTCAAGATTATATTGAAATTGTCAAATTTCAATTTGTTAGAACGCTTTCAACAGTGTGATCATAGATAATAATGGAAATGATTTTTTACGTAACTAGGAACTGTTTTAATTATCACGAAGTGATATCGATTAAGAACGATGTTTACGTATCAGAGTTGAACGGATAACTGTTTCATAGAACGATGTATTTGAAATCTAGAGTGACCCACAGTTATTTAGGTCAATGGGACCTTTCACCGGAGACACAGGTGCCTCCTTTTACTTTAATTTTCATCGAGTTGTCAATTGGCCCCGAGAACTCGCGATCTCCAATATCAAAATATACAAACATGAAAACATGAAAACATGAAAACATAAAAATATAAGAAGGCAGAAATAGACATAGGAACAATTACTGGATTTTGAAACGTTCGAATGTAGTAGATATTAATTAAAGCGTAATGTTCAGAAAAGAATATTTTGCTATTCGATTTAAACATTTTATTTGGTTTCAACGGCAAGAATTTATTCTTCATTGCTCTCCGATCGATAGAAAGTCGAACATTGTAAAAAGATCAGAAATTTCGTCGGTACAGTCGTTATTTCACGTTTTCCAAGTCGAAGATCGTTCCCCTTTGTACAGACTGAAAGAAGCAGCAAACGTATTCGAATTTTTCGCGAAACGTTCGAGGCTTAATTGTGTTTCGCGTAGGAACTTCTCGCTGTGAATTTACATAGAAATATCAGTCTTATTCCTTTACCTATAATTGAAATAAGCGTAAGAGAATCTCGTCCGATCTCGACGCGACTCTCATGGTGCTAACTAAAATGTAAAATGGCGCTTTCTTTGGTTGTAAATTTAAGGTTTTGCAACAAGGGCGAGCACGATGATAGCTCTCCGAACGAAAGTCGACGTGCACGAATAACACACATTTACGATAATGTAGTAAATAGCAAATACAAGCTAAAACAGTTCCGACTTCCGTGCAAGTCGATTTTCTTACAGGCTAATCGAATAAGTACGAAAATATGACGTATTTTCGTTAGAAAAATATTAATGTAACCCGAGTCATAAATACTAATGAGTATCCTAATTTGTGAAAGCATACGAATGATCGTTCGAAAGCATCGAGTGTAAGAAAATACGCGAGACTACCGTCAACGTTTTGTGGAAACGTTGAAATTTAAGTACTTTTAAATAACGCGATCGACAGAACGACAATTCGATAAATTATCAAATAGAAATATTTTCTGTGTACTCGAACGCGAATTCCTATTATTATGTATTCTTTATATTACTGGTTTTGTACTTTCCGGCATCGCTGTCGTAAGAAAACTCGCGCGCGCGTGTAGAGACCACANTACTTTAATTTTCATCGAGTTGTCAATTGGCCCCGAGAACTCGCGATCTCCAATATCAAAATATACAAACATGAAAACATGAAAACATGAAAACATAAAAATATAAGAAGGCAGAAATAGACATAGGAACAATTACTGGATTTTGAAACGTTCGAATGTAGTAGATATTAATTAAAGCGTAATGTTCAGAAAAGAATATTTTGCTATTCGATTTAAACATTTTATTTGGTTTCAACGGCAAGAATTTATTCTTCATTGCTCTCCGATCGATAGAAAGTCGAACATTGTAAAAAGATCAGAAATTTCGTCGGTACAGTCGTTATTTCACGTTTTCCAAGTCGAAGATCGTTCCCCTTTGTACAGACTGAAAGAAGCAGCAAACGTATTCGAATTTTTCGCGAAACGTTCGAGGCTTAATTGTGTTTCGCGTAGGAACTTCTCGCTGTGAATTTACATAGAAATATCAGTCTTATTCCTTTACCTATAATTGAAATAAGCGTAAGAGAATCTCGTCCGATCTCGACGCGACTCTCATGGTGCTAACTAAAATGTAAAATGGCGCTTTCTTTGGTTGTAAATTTAAGGTTTTGCAACAAGGGCGAGCACGATGATAGCTCTCCGAACGAAAGTCGACGTGCACGAATAACACACATTTACGATAATGTAGTAAATAGCAAATACAAGCTAAAACAGTTCCGACTTCCGTGCAAGTCGATTTTCTTACAGGCTAATCGAATAAGTACGAAAATATGACGTATTTTCGTTAGAAAAATATTAATGTAACCCGAGTCATAAATACTAATGAGTATCCTAATTTGTGAAAGCATACGAATGATCGTTCGAAAGCATCGAGTGTAAGAAAATACGCGAGACTACCGTCAACGTTTTGTGGAAACGTTGAAATTTAAGTACTTTTAAATAACGCGATCGACAGAACGACAATTCGATAAATTATCAAATAGAAATATTTTCTGTGTACTCGAACGCGAATTCCTATTATTATGTATTCTTTATATTACTGGTTTTGTACTTTCCGGCATCGCTGTCGTAAGAAAACTCGCGCGCGCGTGTAGAGACCACATATGTGTATATATATATATATATATATATATATATATATATATATATATGTGTGTGTAAGTTTCGAACATGCTTTCGTTGACGATCAACTAGAAAACTTCTGGTCCCAAGACAGTTTCAAGCACCGTCACGTTATCGCTTTTTGAAACGAATTTATCGTTCGTTTCGACGATTTGAATCACATTAAGTTCGGCAGATCCAATTAGTTCTCCCACTTTCTGATAGACGTTATCACGAGTACACGATTTATCCGGAGATTCGATACAAGAGATATTCAGTCCTAATTTCATCGCAGTCTCTTCTCTATCGCCCACAGTCTTTAGTATCGACCTTTCGTCGTCGATTCGTTTCTCGCCGAAAGCTTCGAAATTCAGCGAATTCCTGCTAGTTGTATCTTCGTCCAGCTTAATCGCTTTGCCGGTCGACAAACTCCTTTCCTTTTTAATTAAAAGGTTTTTTAGTTCTGGACTCGCCAGAAACGGTTTACACCGTTTAGTGTGTATTTTCATGTTGTCGTGACGGTTGAAAGGTTTGTCGCATCCGGGACAATGAAATCTAACGAGAATCAAACAGATATAATAGTTAAGCCACCGTTTTTATCATCGAGAAGAGGAAACGATATTTGTGCTATCGACGATATATCGATGTTGCAAGCGTTGCCAATGTTAAAAACCGACCTGATCCCACTGTGTACAGCCATATGTGCAGCCAAGTGAGACTGTTGCCCGAACGACTTTCCACAGACATTGCACTTGTATTTCCTAATTCCTTCGTGCTTCAAGAGATGTTCCTTCAGTATTTGGCTGCTCTTGTACACGTTCGGACATAAAGTACATTTGTACTTTGCCGCAGAATGAACCTATAATGTAAATGCTCGATCGATCGTTACAAGTACAAAGGTTTAACAAAATCTAACTTACGTTCTGATGATTGTGCAAAGCTTTTCTAGATTTCATCTGTTTTCCACACAGGTTACACACATAATCTTGCATATGAAGATTCTTGTGATGGGTTTCCAATGCTTCCGCATTCGACAAGTAAGCAGAACATAGTTTGCACATGACGACTTTGTCTTTGTTGTGCACAATCATGTGCGCGCGTAGCTTGCCTCTCGAATTGAGTCGTTTGTCACAAATTTTACAAATAATATCCTACGTGGTTGAAACGAAAGAATGAATGATATAATTTATAATGGATGCGAACGCGGTACCCGATTTCGCGATCTTTTTATTACCTTCGACGGCTTGTGCGTACCGTTGTGATAACTCAGCATTTGCCTACTAGAGCTCGCGAAATCACAAATCTTGCATTTAAATGGGCGAGCGCCTGTATGAGTATTCATATGTTCTTCCAATAGGACGGCAGTGACGTATTTCTTTTCGCAAAGAATACAAGCAAATGGTTTGATCTTCAAATGACTTTTCCTGATATGGCAACGAACGTTGCTAACAGTTACCGTAGCAAAGTCGCATGCTTTGCATCGAAACGGTTTCATCTGCAGGTGACCCCAAATATGTACCTATCACGAACATATTACTATAAGTTACCCCGTTGAACTTTGTTTTTCTGTTTTCTTAAGTTCGAACGATCGTTATGTGTTTGAAGAAACGCGATAACAATTTACCTGGCACTTGTCCATCCGAGGATAGAGACTTCCACAGATGTTGCAGCGGATGTTCTTCTTATCGATTACCGTCAAATTGTTGTCTACTTCCGCCGAATCAACGGTCGACATATCGATCATATAGTACGTCTCAATTTCTTCTTTTTGTTCTTCGCTGATCAATTCGGAAATTTTACCGAACGATCGGTCTCTGCTCTTATTCTCGTCGAAACTATTCTCTCGATACAGATTTTCGGTGTCCCGAACGTGGGAATCACAATCGGAATCATTTTTTATATTATCGTTTGCTACATCCGGTCCAACAACTGCAGCTACAGGATTTCTTCGCGACGATCTTATAACGGTCGCGCGAGTTTCTTCCACGGACGGCGGACGTTCTGATTTTGGATGATCGGAAGTGTCGCAGGTAGAAACATCAGAATTTTTCGCGTCATCCTCCAATCGAGAACTCGAATGCGCCGATGAGACGATCTTTTCGGTTGTTCGACGTCGATCGATCGTCGATACATTCTCTCCCCGTCCCTCTATCAGCGTGTCGTTTCGAATCGAATCGAGCCGGTTCGACTTTACCTTTTCCTTTTTCTTGTTCTCTACCGATTCACGATAAACCGTTTCTCTCTCAGCGTCTACTTTTTCTTGCTTCACAATTACTGATATCGGTTTGCATTTTCTCGAACGATCTTTCGAATCGTCTTCCGCCACGCCATCGATTAAAGCGTTTTCTCCATCATTTTTCTTACGGTGCTTACTCGACGATACCGTCGGTATTTTATTTTCCGATAATAATTCGATCTGCGATTTTGAAAAGATCATCTTATCGTTGTTGGTCACCGTTCGATTCGATTTACCGTTTCCGCAAATTGTACGTAGACACTGTCTCTTACGTTGATTTCCATCGCATTCCGTCTCGTCTACGTTTTTATGCGATTCATATTTCGTATTTAACGCGAAACCAGCTTCTTCCAGTTTCTGTAATTTACTTTCTCTATCGTTTCTGCGCCGCTTCGGTTGCACCAATAAAGGCATCCTATCCTTTACCGTCGCTTTCTTCCTCGAAATATCCTTTTCTAACTTTGGACGTTCGCATTTTCGGCCGGTGTCGTTAATTCGCTCATCCTTCGGCTTTCGCTTCCGAACGATCGAATCGTCCAATTCCGATGGTTTTCTATCGTCTAAAGTAATTCCTTGTAGAATGGTTGGTACATCGGACCGAATATCGTTCGTAGGAACCTTCTTGCCGGGCGACCAAGCTTTCGTTCTCCGTTTCGTCTCGTTCGTCGACGGCAAAGCATTCTCTTTGTCCGATTCAAAATAGTTCTCACACTCCTCGTCGTCCGATATCCTTTCCGACGAGCGTTTCTCGTTCTATTAAACATAAAAGAAAAATCTGAACACACCGTCGATGAACCGAAAGCGCGCCGCGAAGTCTGTAAGGTGGTCCATTTGAAAATATTTTAAGGGGAAGCCAATATAATGCATAAAATTGATAAAAGGAATCGAGTTACATTTTTGCAAAAAGATGCGTAAAGGCAGAGAGCAGGGGTCGGCGGTAGAGTAAGTAAATGTAGGGGCGCGAGTCACACACACACACACACACACACACACACACACACACACACACACACACACACACAGAGAGAGAGAGAGAGAGAGAGAGAGAGAGAGAGAGAGAGAGAGAGAGAGAGAGAGACTGATCGGATAAACGCAAACACTATCGCTATATAGCTTACGGATTTCTCGGACAACGAGAGTTCCTCTTGGGTGAGCTGGCAGCAATTGTAGAAGTCGCACATGAACTCCAACGCGCCTATGCATCGCAGGCAAACAACGTGCGGCAATCCGTCGTTCTCTTTTATCTGAAACAATAAGAAATTTCGATGTCCAAAGTCCAGGGAAGAAAAAGTACGTTTAACGAACGGCACGTTCTAGGCACGAGAAAAATTCGAGCAGAGGTAGTAGAGTCCTTCCTCCTGTTCCTCGACCGGGTCTCCTTTAGAATTCAAAGGAGAAAAATGTCGTCGAACGTTCGAAGACAACGCGAAAGATTTCAAAAGTAAATGTAAAAAATCAAAAGAATTTGTATCCATTTTGAAAAATATTTTATCTTTATTAATTAAGAAAAGAGTCGTGGAATCGTTAAACAAATTCTTCTTTATTCTTTATTGTCGAAAAATTATCATGTACGCTTATTATTTTTTACTGGGCATTATCTTAACGACATACGTATTAACAGCTACACTTATGAGAGAATGCAATGCTATCGACAAGTACATTATCTCCTAGATGGAAAAATAGTTCTGGATTAACAAACGCCTCGTACAAAATAGGAGTTATTGCTTACATCTCTATCCGAGGAAAGTGTATACATATAATAATATTATCGAGATGTTAATATCTTTCGAGCGATATCGGCTAATCGTTTTCGTGTTAACAACTTCCTATTTCTCATTGCCGGTCATTTTCCCGAGGAAAAGTAACAACTCGCGATCGTAGGAAAATTCTCTGCGCTCTCGACTCTCGAATCGCGAAGTGCGACGCTCCGGCTGACCCAGGTATACGCGACGCGTTCGATTCGTAAAAAAAGATATGTTTCTCGCAGTACCGGCCGTAAATGTAACAGTTCATCGGTATATCGCGCGCGCGCGCGCGAGCATCGTTCTTTCTCCTAGAAAACCGAAAAACGAACTCGCAGCTACGGCAACGGCAGCGTACACGCCGATGGCGGTCAACGATAAATGCTACACGAATAGGATTCCCGATCGATAGGATCTTTTTGTTCCTTTTTCGTTACTTTTAAATAGTTAATATCAAAACGTCATCGATAAATAACAGGTCGATGTCCTGGTTCATGCGATACACGTAACAATTACTCTAAGGCTCGAACCCGACCGTTCCGTTTTAAGGCCAAGAGGTCAACTTTCAAACGCGATCGATCGAAATTGACGTCCTTTTCCGAGGAAGATCGACATTATCAACGCTTTTCCCGAACATTAACGCTTATACAACGTTGAAACGATACATGCGTGTATTGCGCGATACATACTATACATATATATATATATATATATATATATATATATATATATATATATATATATATAAAAAGTTCTTCAAGGCACTTGCGTACAATTTCCACGTTCTCGGTAGATCACATACAAGTTTCGCAGCACGATTTACGGTGGTCGCTATTTTTACATTGTAATCTCCACTAATTTTCACGTGGAATCCAGCAAAAACGGTTCAACGGACCGTCGTCCGTGTTTTTCGCGAAAGACGATCTCGTTCGAACAAGTATACTCGAGTGATTTCCACAAAATTCTTTTTATCGGATCGTTGCGCGCATAGGTATATAATATAGCATAGGATCGACCGGTTCGAAAAGAACACCTTGGTCGTGGACGCTCGTCCGGATCTGGTTAAGATCGTTCGAGTTTTCCGATGCAGAGTCCTTTTCAAACTCGACAAACGGTAGTATGTACATATAAAATAGTCTCGCGTGTAAAATATAATCGAAAATAGAGTAAAATACACCTTGCACGTGTATCGTGTAAAAATGTTCCAGTTCGTCTAAAAACAGCTGTGTAAAAATAGATAGAAAATATTTTGTTGTACCCTTTCTAGCCAGGGTACTCTCGTTTTATGGAAGCCCTATCCATGCTGTACTCACAATTTTCAAAAAATCAAGCTATCTTAGGAAGCTAACTGTGCGGTAAACGTACAAAAATTTCAAATTATAACGTTCCATCGAATAACATTCCTTCGGCTTCCTTATTATCGGGGATTCTGTTCGTTTGTTTCTAGTATACGCGAATGATTCGCCCAACGCGTAAAATATTCTGTTAGAGCTATTCGATTGGAAAAATATGACGACGCGCGTCGTTTTTAATAATATTTCATCGATTCGATTCGAGTTTTTACAGTTTCGACAGAGAATTTATTGCGCGAATTGATAGCGCGTTCATGTGTTAACAATGTACTACAAGTAAATGGAAAGAATACTTAAAAAAAGATGTCGGCGCTTTCTTAAATGCACACTTGCTACATTATATACAAAACAAGACTGATGCACCAAAAAAAAAAGAAAGAAAAAAAAGAAAAAAAAAGAAAAAAAAAGAAAAAAGAAAAAAAAAGAAAAGAATTATCGTTGTCCTGCCCGACTGGTATATGGTAATACGTGTTAATAAAAGTCAAACTTGAAAACAAGGAGCTCCCGCGATACTCTAGGCCTAACGATATTATCGGTGATATCGCTTTGGTTCCCCCCTCCGTCGAAGAGAGATTCCATCGCGACGATCGCCGTAATCGTGATATCCTAAAAGTGTCGGTTCATTTTCCAAGTACATCGTTCTACAACGAGAAGCAACAAGTGGAGTGTAAAAGATTATGGGACAGCTAGTCCGTAACAAAAATTGAATTTCGAACGTAATGAAACGGCTCTCTCGTGTCCATCGCTGTACACGGAGCGTATGCCTAGGTGGCTAGATAGAAATTAGATAGAAATTAGGTAGAATTTGGATAGATGTTCGCGAATGTCGGACCTGTTATTTTTCGTTGGACACGGTGGAAATCGTGTTCGCGCCAGCATTCTGCTGTTTAATAATACCAGTCTTTTTATCCTCAAAATGTCTTTTTCTATGCACCTTCATGTTGTCACGCCTATTAAATTTTCGCCCGCATTCCGGACAGGCGTGTTTCTTTTCGCCGTGCACGTGCCGATGTGCGGCCAAGTGACTAGCTTGGGCGAATCTCGCGCCACACTTTTGGCAGATATGTTTTCTCAACCCCTCGTGTTTCAGTAGATGTTCGTTCAGGAATGCTTTCGACGCGTATCTATTGTTACAGATGTTGCATACAAAAGGCTTAGGATTGGTGTGCTGCAAAACATGAGCTTTGTATTTCGACGCAACTTTGAACGTTTTGCTACACACCTCGCAAGTGTAGGTAGTCGCGTGACGCGTCTTGATGTGTTCGTTTAAAACTGAAAGACTCGAGTAGAGATTATAGCAAAATCGGCACCTGAAATTCCGACGATTTTTCAGATGAACGCTAGCGATGTGACTCAACAATCTCGTACGATACGGGAACACTTTGCCGCAATACTCGCAAGCCAAATTCTGCGGGGGTAAATGTGATTTCATGTGTATCTGCAACGATACTTTGTGATGGTAACTTTGCCCGCAATCCGTGCAAGAATACGGCCTCACGCCTTTGTGCACGTTGTCGTGCTCCATCAAGTAAAATTTCGATTTGAACCTCTTTGGACATTTCGGGCATTGTATCGGTCTAGGATTGGTATGCGAACAACGTATGTGTTTCATCACGTCGGACTTGCATACGAATTTGGCATTGCATAAAATACACGTGTACTGCTTAATCCCCAGATGCGTTTTCACATGAACCATACATTTGTCTTTGCGTTCGTAGAATTTGCAGCACAGCTTACACGAGTAACCGTTTTGATTATCCGTTACGATATGTTCGACGTTGTCGTCCACGCGAATTTCCTCTCCATCGATCTTAAACAATTCTTCCGGATTCTGAGAAGCTTGCCATTTTTGCTCGAATTCGGCAGAGTCCTTCGACTTTGTTGAATTACCATTCTTCAAACTGCTGTTGATAATAGTGTTTATTATACTATTCACTTCTACGCAACTTTGATTCTGTAGAAGACCAACGATAGATTCGTCTACTAAACACGAGCCTTGGTCTGGAAATACTCTGGCTCGTACCGTCGCAACATCGTCGCTCTCCTTTTTACATAATTCTACCGTGAAACTGATATCTTCTGTATCGTTGCTTTGGTTCCTCGATTCCTTCGCGGACACTTCTATGTTCGGCGAGTTCGATACGATGGTCAGAAGCTTGTTTAAAGCCGACGTTGGAATTTGTATGGTGTTCGGATCTTGTTGCTTTCCCGCTTCGCGGCTCACGCTTATTTCCGCACCGGTATTACCATGACTCCTAAGCCTGTTCGCGATCGGTGTGTCGGTTGTTACCTCGTTCGTGGAAGTTGTATCTGTATTTTGCCTACTTCTCAACCATCTCGTGGGAGTTGTTTCGGTGCTTTGTACAATTTGTATATTCTCTGTGTTATCCTCCGTTGTGCTTTGATCGGTGGTTTGATCTTTAGTAGCTTCGTTGTTACTATTGTTACTATTGTTATTATTATTATTATTATTATTATTATTATTACCGTTGTTGTTACTATTACTATTATTCGCTTGTTGATGTTGACTGCGTAAATTTCTCTGAGTCTTCGCTGTTGTTTTCGAAACACGTTGTGCTACTTCTTTGACGCTTTCCTTGGCTGGAGGATTAAGATTTTTGTCGATGTCGTTGTTGTTATTGTTCGTTGACGTGCTCGGTGTTGTTTCTTCAGTCTTTACTTCGGCCTAGGGATAAATTGAAATGTAGATAGAAATGGGTACCAGAGAAAATTTACTAATTTATATGGTAAGAAAACTCTAATTTGGTATACGGGCATGTAATCGTGTAGTTCTATTCGAACGAAAATCACAACTTTCTAAAGGAAGAGCAGCCGATATACCAAATTGCTTTTTCTTCTCCGCTTAATTGTATCTCTAATTAAAGTAATACAAAAAACATGAGCTGCATGCTCCGGTGGCATCACGATCGAGCGGTAGAGCTGTGCATTAAAATGGAATACGAACTTACAATCTCTGTTAGGGGTGGTAGATTGTATCGATCGCGTAACACTTGTTGGGTGCGAAGACACTCCTCTTGGAAGTCGCAAACGAATTCGAGCTTGCCCAGACACTGAACACAGATCGCCTTGGGCAGAGGATCCCTCTCATCTATCTGTGATTCAAACAAAATTCCTAAATACTAAATATGATACGATTTGAATTTTTTTTAATCCAATTCCATACTATACTCGTTTCGACAGATTTGAAAAATCTCTTAATTCTTATATAGAGTCATATTTGAAAACCGACGATACTCGATCCGGTATGAACCCTACCGCTCTGTAGATATACCACTGATAAAATTGTCGACTGTGATCTGGTACCCATTTTAGCGTTACATAGCGTCGAGCTTATCATCTATCCCTACAACGAATTATCGCTCGAACAACTTATTACAAGATATACTGTACGAAAATATCAACGACACAAAATATAAAGCATTTCTAATTTAAGAATTTTATACAATCTTATACAATATATATAACTACTACGGTGTAACATGCAATTTCCAATACATCGTTTAATTCTCGCATAAACTTTAAGGCTTATTTCTATTTCGAGGTATTGTTGATCTTTCGATAAGGGGAATCGAATAAAATATCGATGACACTGTTGTCCGTGTGAAAAATCAAATTGTAAAAAAAACGAGAAACTTCCAAATTTTTGTTTAAATCGACGTGGAAAAGTATGTGTTCTTTTTGCATAGATATCTATCTACAGTCTAATTAAAATGTAATAAGAAACTTTCCATTCCTGTTTGCTTATATTCAAATAAATACATGGAGAAATAGAGATAAGATTGATCGTTTATAAAGATATAGAGAAAAAAGCTTGAAATCGATGGGAGAAAAGACAAAGTAATAAATGAAAGAGAACATCTTTTTTTCGCATACTCTTCTCTTCTCCCCCGGCCATTTTTCTAACCCCCTCCTCTGGAATGGAACTTGGGCCCGAAGACCCCATGACACACCTCGCATTTACTCACCAGAATGTTGATTTTCGAATGAATCTTCAAGCCTAAAAATCTCTTGGTGCCTTCTTCGCTGAACACATCGATATATATGCTTTCATACTGGCCGCAAAGTCGACAAATCTGCGCCTCTCCCTCCCCTAGCTCCATTTTTGTTTACGTTGAAGGCTGCCTGAATACGCTTTCGACTACTTGGATCCACACCGAAAAATTTTGGCCTTGCGCGACTGGTGCTGGTCCGTACTATCTGGTCGATCCCCGATCACCAGTCGAGCACCAGCTACCAGCCCCAGCGATACCACGTTTCCTGGCCTTCGCTTTTTCCCGACGAAACAAACATAAAGAATAAACAAAAGACTAAATTCTAACGTTAGCGTTACTACTTGCTTGTTGGTCTGGCACGGGGATGTAGCCGCGTTCGAGTCAGACCAGCACACATTCGCTATATACCCCTCCCCTCTCGTCTTCTTTCGACGCCTAGCGACCGTATGAATTCCGACCAATCGACTCTGCCCTTTTTCACTTTATGCGTTCGCTTTCGTTGCGATTGGTTCCGTTGCCAGCCGCGCTCTAGACGGCTTCTACTTAAAACTACTGTACAGCATATACGCGTATGCATCTCTATTCGCTTTAGATTCACGATATTCGCAGTTTTTCTATCTGCTTTCGGCGACTATGAACGAACATTCACACTATTTTTTCCACTGAAAAGTTTATACGAGTACGAAACAATCGGAAAATTCACATGCCCCGTTACAGGAAGTACAGATTGCATGCGCACTTGTTTCTAAAGAATACCAACCTTCGTAATATTTATAAAGTTGGTATTCGATGATAGAATTGTACAAATATGTACATATGTATGCCTGTATATACCTTAATCTATATCGTTTAAGGTACATACAGTGCGATGTCGCCCTAATCGAAATCGTCGCCATCTAATTAATCCCTATAATCGCGGTACCGCGCGCGTACTTGAATTCGGAATAAAATAGGAACCGAATCGCGATCGTAATCTCCTCGAAACAGTTCTCATAATCAACTTGCCCGCGAAACGGCGTTTTCGGATACTGGGCAGAAATGTACTGCAGGATGATGGAGTGAGAGAGAGAGAGAGAGAGAGAGAGAGAGAGAGAGAGAGAGAGAGAGGGGGGGGACCAAAGTGTGCTAGCAACACTACCATTGGAAATTGCCATTGAAATCCATTGGCATCATCCAATCCCATTTCTTAGATCTTCTCTCCGCCATTCTGCAGCATATTTCAGACCAGTCACCCAGTCATTGAAAATGGATGCACTGTCGCGGTCGCGGGCGAGTTAATTCCGAGCCATGCCTTAAAACATAACTAGAGATAAAGAATGTCGCTATCAGATTAGAGGGCATTAGAGGATCGCGCTCGAGTAGGATAAATAATAGAAAGGAATGCTAGCAGTAAGAGCGGTAAAGGAGCGGGAACACTTGGAATGTGGAATCAGAACCTCTTAATCGAAGGACATAAAATATCGGTTTAAACAAGAGGCTTTCATCGGAGGAATTTAACAGTAATGACAAATGACCAGTATGTAGCAGGATTATTAGTAAACGGATTACGATTTGGATGGAAGCCGTTCTCTCATGGGTTACCGTTGCTGTGAGCATGTGGGACCTGGTGGGACCCACACAGTACGCGAATTACCGCAGGTTACTGTAAATTGTAACCTGTAACCTGTAATCCCCCTGTAATCCGACTTGGTTAATCGAATTTTGTTCATGATCCCTGAGTGAACAACGACGGTCATCGTATGGTACGTATCACGTTGTCCTACATGTGCACGTGAACAGTTCTGTGCCCTTGTTTAATGTCATAATTTTATCATTGCGGACTGTTCGATGTCCGTATAGCGCTAATTAAGCTAGTAGCAAAATGCTAAAACTGTTTGTGAAAATCGACTGTCGGTAATTTGGCTAACAGGTTGAGCGTTTTGCCACTAGCCCAATTGGCGCTGTTGGAGCTTCATTTTTTTCTACGAAAGAACCGCCACAATCGTCCACATATGCTCGATCGTGCACAATGCAAGGTCATCTAAAAACATTAACTATGTGGACAAATTAGGACATAGAAAACTAAACCAAGGGCACAGAACTGTTCAGAAGAATCTGGTGCATCGTGTAAGAATACCAAATAACAACAACACAAAATATACATAATTAGTTAACATAATAGTCGATCAAACTTCAGAGAGCAATTAATTACGTTTCGCAGTGTTGTCATTTGTTTTTTTTTTATACTTTATACTTACAATTCCGTACCCTTGATTTAATTTTGTATGCCCTAATTTTGTCAAAATCAATTTCTTTTTTTGTAGGGTCTCTAATTTTACGAGGTAGATAATCCGTGCCGTATTTTACATAGTACTTCATAGTAAGAATAGAGAAAGAATCTTGTGCTCTCGTTATTTTCAACAAGTAAACAAATTAACTCTATTTGCACATTATTATTTGTTTTAGGTCCAAGGATTATGGGGGTACCAACGAGTACATTCTGATTCATAATAATTACGATAAATTACTAGAAAAGTAAATATTAGAAGAAGTTGACTAACTGAAAATAAACTTTGTGAAGAAAAAGAAAATAAATACTAGATTGTTGTAACAAAAAGAAATAGAAAAGAAGAAAAAATAAATAAAACTAAAAAAAGGGTTTAAGATTTTATTCTCGATTCGTTTCGTAAATACATGAACATTACTTGTGAATTTAGTTCATACTATTAAATTTGATTCGCTCGCATATGCAACTACTGCGGTATTATCGTTTGTCCGCGTATACAATTAAAGCAGCAAGAAAATTTAATATGGTTGAAACAGTTGAAAAAAAGAGAAGGAGAGAAAGAACCGGACTAATCTGAACATTTTCCAAGTATGTAGCATTTAAGACTAAAGACAGAATGTTCTTGAGAAATATTTGTTCGCGCAGCGCAGTCGAATCAAGTCGAATGCAGCAGTGGACTGCGGACTGCGGTAACCGATGCCGCATCGTAGCGATACGATCAGCATCAGCATTCACTTTCTATACATATGTATATAGCTACGAGAAAATGGCAGCTACACACATACATACATACATATATACATAGAATAGACAAATACGAACACGCGAAGCGAACAGATGGAAGGACCAGAGCGCGCAGATACGTGGTTGGAAAAGCGCATGAGTGCAGAGAGCATAGGCGGTCGAACGGATCGTCGCGAATGGTCGCGAATGCTCAGCCCTCGTGAATCGTAGCAGCGATTAACGATAGGCACGAGTGGGGTGCATCCTTGAGATAGAGAGAAGCGACTTGGCAATCGACGGCCGGTGGTGGTTTAAGTAAACTGTGATAAGACTGATTTCTATAGTGTGAATTGTAGATAGTCGCGGTCGCAGTAGCAATCTCGATCGCAAATCGCAATTATAGTCACAGTGGCGGTGACAGTGACAGTCGCAGTCGCAGTCGCAGTCGCAGTCGCAGTCGCAATCACGGTCGCGATCACGGTCGCGATCACGATCAGAGTCACAGCCGCTAAATTTATAAGAGACTCAACCAAGACGAAGCCGGCCGTTTTGCAATGGAGTTGCGCGAAGTGAATCGCACTTTTGAAGCTGCGGAAGAGACTGCAGAACTTTTGCCATCCTCGCATCACGATAATTCGGAAGTCGAGAGCTATTTCATCGAATACGCGATTCAGAAAGAAATAATTAATCGTAACCGATGCCCTGCCAGCCGTCGTTTGCTCAGTCAAAGTGCTCATCTGGCAGATTTTAATCTTGCCAACGGTAATCATCAGAAGGTGGTGTATCGCGTTTAGAAATCTATATACTCGTTCGATTTTGATACGTTTACGCGTCGATGCTAAAACACCATTGGAATCTGTGTTTCTTCGAAAAATTTGCATCGCGTCGAACGCGGAGGGGAGGCACATCTTTTTTCTTTTCGTTGTTTCTAATCTGTACGGTTAAGGCACACACGCAACCGTGCGAGTCCGGCGCATAAATTGTTAGAACGAAAAAGAAAGAGAGGAAAAGGAATCAACACGAGAGAGATCGAGACTCGCGTTACATTTAATATTGTGCGCCGAATGGGATAACGGATGAAGTATTTTTTCAGGACTCGCCATGCATCGGAATCAGTATGATACACACGTCGAACGCGAATTGGCCTCCTTCCAGGAAAAGAGAGGAGGCGAAAGCTTTGGAAAATCTTCGGAAAAGAGTGGAACAATCGAAGTTGTACAAAGCGACTAGGAATACCGACACTTGCGGATCGACATCTATTTCTTTGGTTTTGAACGACAATCGTACGGAGCAACTCGATAATCGGCCGAAGCTTTTGAAAAAGGTGAGACAACGAAACTCGGCGATGTAGATCGAATTTGTAGGATGCTGTTCGAAAATGAAACGGACGCCTAGACGATTGGTTATTCGAAACGGTACATTTTTACTGGTCCTGCTCTTTTTTTTCCATCGGTACCACGTATATATAGATCCTGAGTAACAGACCGATGAGTATCGCGCACGACAGTAACGATCTGGAGACTGACTGGCGAGACAGCGAATTTATTACGGAATGTTTATGCTGGCACAATGTCTATCGACAGAGGCACAACGCGCCACCGTTGACGATGTCGCCGCAGGTAAGAAGCCACCGTCGCTACGAGAAACGATGACGATAGAGCTTAGACTTGGACGATCGGGTACCGATCGCGGAAGTTCACGAAAATACCATGAACGATCGTCGGACATCGGCGGATCGAATTCAATTCAATTCAATTCAATTCAATTCAATCGCGTCTAATAAACGCAAATCGCGAATGTAATCGAATGAAATCAAATGAAATCGAACGACGAAGGAAATCTATCGCCGTGCACGCTAATGTTTCACGTTGATACATCGCGTCCATAATATATCGTACTATCGGACATACGAGACACATCGATTTGACCAATTTTCGCCTATATTTACAGTTGTGCGAGTACGCTCAAACGTGGGCTAATCATTTGGCCCACACAAACACATTTTATTATAGAAATGATCGCGAGGTGGGACAGAATCTTTACTGCCGTCCCGGTGGTGCAGTTCCTACGGATGTAACGGGACAGGACGTTGCATCCTACTGGTATTCCGCGGTGAAGCAGTACAATTTCGTAAAGGAACCCGATATTCTCCATGCCAACGTGAACGCAGGTATCTCGTGAATTATTTTACTCGTGCGTCGCGAATTCTGCTCGAGACAAAGATCATTTTATAATTTCGTATCGTTGCAGGCCATTTTACACAGTTGATTTGGGCGAGCAGTCGATATTTCGGAGTTGGAAAAGCTCGCAGTCGAAGCGGAAAAGTGATCGTTGTTGCGAATTATCAACCGGTTGGCAACATATCCGGACAATTTCAGAGTAACGTTTTGCCACCTTTGCCCGAAAACATAAATATGGGCTTGTCGCCTCCGCCGCCGCCGCCGCCACCGCCGCCACCACCACCGCTTCAGACGTCCGCTCCGGTGAAAATGTTTCGAGAACATTATCTTGCGTCCGATTCGCCACCGCCGGCATCCTCCTCGGTACCACTTTCGGATACCGCGTCGACGGACAGCGATCGGTCTTCCGTCAGTTCCACGCAATAATATAGACGGCCGAATTGCCTGTTCTGCGTTTGCACGCGCGGATGGGACGGTCGTTGATCAGTTTTTTGATATCCTCGTTTTTTCTCTTGCCCAACGATCTTTCTACCCATACCGAGTTTTTAATACACACGAGTCTCTTTATACCTCGAAACTCTTTATCGTTTATACGTCTCTTCTCGCTTGTTTTCTTTCGCGTTTCCATATTCTTTCTTCGTTTCTTAACCTCTCTTTCCCTCTGCTTCGTAATTCGCAACGCGTTCGAAAAGCGCCGAGTACATGCACACCGAGAAACGACATTTTTATTCGAGCAGAGACCGACGAACTAAAGGAAAGAAATACGCTTATATTGTACGTAAACTAACGAGTAAACAGGCGAGACACGAATACACACGTGTAAATACATACGTATCCGTGTTTGTATATTTCGAACGACGAGAAGGATTTTCCCTCGAAGGGAGGAAGAAAGAGGAAATAGAAAAGAAGAAGGAAGCAAAATGGAGGAAAGATGATAGCGGGAGAAGAGAGTAAAGGGGTAAAGGAAGAGACGACGAACAACCGAAACCGAGAACGTATATAGGGGTGTAGTTAAGAGTCGCGTGTTCTTACGATGAAACGAATAAGATTCGACGATCGACTCGAAGTTACTCTGTAACCAGACTCCTAATCGCGATCGATGAATCGCTCGTTCGGCCTGTTTCGATCGCGTGTTTCACACGTGTAATCTCCGGACAGTATACGTAAAAAACCTGGCCCACGTTTCGGATACGGATCGATCGAAAAACATTGGATTCGAATAAACGATCCAAGCGCTTGTAAAACCAATGTAACAGAAACTAATGTGTGCTCGATACGTTAAAAAGAAATCCGCGCTGGCAGTATTTGTCACCGGGTGATCAACGACGACGATGTTCAATGACGACAAGGGCCTCCAAATAGACAACAAATATTTTATATGACGTTCTTGTAATATTATTGTAAACCGTATAGCATGTCGGCGAACGGTAACACCGTTCGAAGACGAGTAGGTAAATTGAGAAATCGGTATTATCGACTCACCGAGCGCTGACAAAAATATCGTTAAACTATCAGAGTCTACGCGGTCGACTGTGTTATATCTTTTTGAGTTAATCTTGATAGTTGTATAATAGTTTTATTACATGGACGCGTTCGTTATGCGTTGAGCGTAATTTTCTTATTTACCGATATCGATGTGCACGGTGATCGACTCTACTTACGCTATCTACGAACGCTATGATCTTTACGATCGCTACGATCCATACGATCTACCGCGATCGCTAGAATGCATCGCATAGAAACGCCGCTTCTTTGTACGTATACATGTATGTATTGCATTGTACTTTGCATTGCGACTATTACGGTGATATTGCGAGAAGAATGATCGCGAACGAATACCAAAATCCTTAGTCGTTTAGCGTGAATCCATGTGTACGCGTTATGCGTTACGTTACGGGAGACAAATTGATCGGAATCGACGCGTTTCGTTGATGTCGAAGCGCATCGATAACGACAACATGATCGAGAGTACGTACTACGCTTTGTTCTGAGAATCGTTGATATATTATATATATATATATATATATAATATATCAATATATATTATTATAATATATATATATATATGATATATTATATATATAGTTATGTGCGTACAAAATTACCAAAATAGCGGTATTATCGAGGGGCCTTACCATGATCGGGCTCCTTAGTCGAGCAAGCAATCAAACTGGCGCGTGTCGCTTACGAGTATAGAAATTGTACGAATTCGACTCATAATTAGACCATAAATCTAACAATCTATACAGGCGTCGGATAAAATTAGATAAATTTTAATTATACGCGCTTACGATTACTTTTCCAGGAAATATACTTTTTATGAAAATTCATTTTTTACCTCGTAACTTCCTATTACCTTTTACCTTTTACCTTTCACCTTTCACCTTTTACCTTTCGTCGTTTCTCCTTTAAATGTCGCATCGGAATCGGTAAGGATTATTGCAAGTACGATATGCGTGAAATACAAGTGGGGATCTACTTCAACGAGGCCGATTAACGATAAGTTTCGAATAAACTGCCATGTGGTTTAGGCGTTGACGCCCTCCGTGGTTTAACTTGCAAACTGTTGTTAGCCGAACGATATTCGTATAAAAATGTGGAAATTTCATAAAGTTTGTCAAAGGAAGCTGCAACAGCAACACCGATTATAATTATCATCGAATAATATTTATATGTAACTATCAGAATACACGAAGTATGAAAAATTGATACATCTACAGAATGTAACACGTGCCACATACAATTTTCCATTGTAGCCCAGCGTCGACAGTTACATGCGCGTATGCACATACGTGCGTAACATACGACGCAACATGGCTAGACGAGTTCGATATTTTGATTGGCAGAGTATGTGCCATCCATCGGATTTCACCAACGGAACGAGCAAATCGTTGGTAGGCAACTTTCATGTATTCGCGATGGATACATATACATACACAGTTTTTTTAGAGAAAAATCTAGGTACAAACACATAGGTACCAGTTAGGTGCACGCGTGATCGCGCAAACGTAAACACGTATATGTACGCGACACGGCCCACACGGCCGAAGCAAGAATTTCGTATGACTGTGTAAGTGTTGTGCTTAAAAATTGCGCAGATGTTGGTACATATTTAGGTGTGAAAGCTCGAGAAAGACAAAGGTTCGCGTGATACGTAAAAGAAACGTTTGCACGCGTTTGACCTCGCGTTCGAAAGGGTAGATAGGTAAACTGACATCGGGTAGGTAGAAGAACTATTTCGAATAAGATCGAACAGTTTCGAAAATGGCGGCCAAGAGTGGTGGTAACGATGAATTGTCATCGATAATGAAACCAATATTAGCGGTATCGCAAGGATCGTTTGACAAAACCGATATCATTAAATTGGCGAAAAGCATTGCTAAGAGGTAGGTATCCTTTCGCTAACTAATGGACATTTTCCTACGCATATGGATACGTTTCTCGAAGATCGTGTATACTCGTGATATGACAGTCTCGAAACGGATGACTGTTCATTTCCATTATTTCTCGAGCAATCTTCCTACATCGTTGTTTTCTGCTTTATTTTTCAGCGAAAGTAAGTTCGTTTCTCACCAAGAGCAATATGAAACGTTTTATACGTCCATCGCAGCTCTCGCGGCTGATTATTTGGCCGGTTGTGCCAGTACTTGTAAGTTTCTCCTTGACTTTTTCACGGTCACGATCAAACGATCGTTGCGTTTTCAGTCTTTTCGAGTTTTTCTCCATTGTTTGATTTTCAGTACCGAAGAATCAAATATCGATAGTTTGTCAAGCGTGCAGAGTACTTCTGCATTGTCTTATAGACAAATTATCTCGACACAAAGTCCAACAGGGAGAAAGCAGTTCTGCCGTTTTAAGCACAAAGCAATTGTTATTACCGATACATGCGCTTTGCATCGGTCAATCCTTACTTTCGTCCAACGAAGAGGCAGCCTTGCTGGCCATCGTAATAACTGCGAAAACACCTCCTTACCTTCAGCCTTCTTCGTCCGAAAGCGAGAAGGATGTTTCTCAATGTTCGAAAGATGCTGTACGAGCGCGAGGTGATTTATCCGGCAGCATTCTCGAGCAATTAACGATGCCTTTGCAAGATTTCGCATGCATGTCCATGCCTGTTATCGTCGAAAGTTCTAACGAAGGAACTAGCAAAAGCGGAAATGGAAGTAGCACCAACGAAACCAATTCGGACACTAAGGTTGGTTTTAATCTATCGTATACGCGTACGCAACATCAAGGTCGAGATGTTTAAAATATCTGGCGAGCTGTATAATAATGATATTCCGATTTTACAGGCAACATTCGTCGCAAATAATATAGGTATTCTTCGAAACATGGGTGCAGGCGACACCCTTTTGGATATGTGTTTGAGCCTTCCACATTTATCGCGCTACACCCGAAAATATCAAGCGTATTTAAACAAAAAAGGTTTTAGTTTACCAGCGAACGCTTCGGAAGCACACGCTATACGACACAGTTTACATTGCGTAGCGAGCGACATTAATATCGTTCACAACGTGATGTCGTTGCGTTTGCTGGAACCTTTGACACCGATCAAATTAGAAAAGCTTTCGACGCTGACCATGTCTTGCCTATATTGCTCGATCGCGTACGCGACCGCGTCTAGTATCGTTGGAATAACGAATGCCGTATCACCGAAATGTAGTACGAATACGACTGCCGGGGCGCAAACCGGACAAAGCGGTTTAAAGAATACCGAGGAAGAATACGATACATTGGCGATCACGGTAGTCGAGAAAAGTTTGGAAATATTTGGGATGGTTTCGAACGTGATCAAAAACAGCACACGCGCAGGTGGTCATGTAAGGACTCGTATAATACTTTGAATATTAATAATTCTAATCTTTTTATTTCACGATAATAGATTTTATGTTTCCAACAGATATTGCAAAACCATTTGCTTATCGGGGTATGGTTGTTGGTAGCCGGTTTGCAAGCGCAGCTCTCTGCGAGCAGTTTCAGCGCGGCGGATAAAGGAAAAGAAGAAAAGGGCAAATCGCCGAGTAAGGCGCGCGATGGAACGACACGGGTCAATCTAATGAAAGTGTAAGCAACATATTTTTCTGAATTTTCTATCCATAATCGATCGGTGTAAGAGATTAAAATGAAACGCCTCACTTGTCACAATCTACCTCGTTTGGATTTTCAGACAACAAGGTTTTGGAGTGCTCTCGGTAGCTTTAGCTTCTCATGCGCTCGCATTGATGAGCGCGCTTTTAGAAGATGTGTCGGTCGAAGCGGTTATCGATCACACGGTTCCCCCTGAACCAGCACCACTAGACATATTATCTAATGCCAGTGCGCTTCAAAGAGCGGTTACTTTTCTTCAAGCTGTACCGCTCAATCATCTTCTCTTTTATTTGGCTACTATCAGTTATAGAAAGGTAGGTGTTGGCGTCGGTGTCGGGGTTGGGGGACTGTAGTATCGAATCTATTCCATTCATCTTATGACACAGCATTACATATTTACGATCGACTGACATTTATTCAGGCCTGTACACTGAAAAGAGTGCAAAAGCATCCGTTCGAAGGTGATGCTCTAAGTCAGTCAGACTCTACGACATATTACGAGGATCTGTTGAGTTGTTCAGATAATACCGACGAAGGTAAGGAAATGAAAACTGTGTGCGACGAACGATCAAAGAATGTCAAGAATATAGTGAAAACTATTGTGTCGATAGAGGAGGACAGCGAACCAATTTTGGGTCTATGGTTCGAAGAAACTATTGCTCCGTCGGATGGATCGCCTGCGAACGGTGCAAAAGAGTCTGGCAACGAAACAAATGTTGAACGTTCGGCAACCACTATCGTTCCTGATAATCGTGAACCGCACGGTGTAAGAAGCTTTGTTACATCTCATATCCTCCAAATAGAATGGGGAGGACTGATCTCGTATTCTTGTTCGACAGTATATATCTCTGGCCACGAAGATCTTTCAATTCATGAATCAGCATTTGATCGGTAGTAAAAGTTCATATGTACGAGAGTATGTGGTAAATGGCTTGGTCGAGCAGCAGATGGTGATACTAGCGGCAATTATCAGGGATTTAGATCACGAGACTGCTAGAACGGAGACCGGTAATTATATAATTATACACAGTTTTACTAGTTATTTCTGTGAATGTCTATGAGATAGAAATGAAAATGTGTTTCAATACATTCCAGGCACCATCTCGGTGTTCTATGGCGCCACCTTAGGCGCTATGTATTCCGAGTTCTCTCAAGCATTGAGTCGTTACACGCACAACTTGTTAGCACGAAACACTTTAAGCGAAAGCCTACAAAACACTCTTCTCCAACATTTGGGCGTGAATCCATGGTCTGGAACGGACAGTACGACTTCTTGTACATGGCCCCTACAAGTGTATCCGAGAACTTTGAGCGTGTTGGCACAGGTGTGTATTGTTCTATTATACATTTGCAATTACGGTCGCTACCGTAATTGCGATCGTAATCGTAATCGTAATCGTAATCGCAATCGTAATCGCAACGGTATCAACGTTCCCGACAGGTTCTTCTTTTGAAACCGCAATCGGAGAAAGAAGCAGCTTGCATAAGTATATGGCATCGTCTGGTGACAACCATGGTGGAAAATGTATGCAATCCACCTTCCACATTCGAAGCAGAAAACGAAGGTAAATTACAAAAGTATAATGGCATATAACGACGAATCAAATTTAAATTTATACGTTTGCAGATTTGAATGTGGAACATGCACAACTGGTATTGATTTTGTTCCATTCGCTTAATTTAATGCAAAAGAAATCGGTTTTGCTCGTAACTGGTAGCGGCGCGGTGCGTTGCAGCGAAGCCGTCAAAACTGCAATGAGGGATTCTCAGCTATTGCACTTGTCGCGATTATTACTATTGCTAGAATACATGATGAAGCATCTTTATGACGCACCTCCCCCATTACTTAAACAAGTATGTGATTACCTTAATTTGCTTTGATTTTCATGGACACGATATCTTGGCGAAGCATTTATATTCGTTTCCCGTACATGTTCACTCGTACGTAATTTCATTTCTTCATTTTTTCACACACATTTCTTCATTTCTTCATTTCTTCATTTCTTCATTTCCTCATTTCTTCATTTCTTCATTTCTTCATTTCTTCATTTCTTCATCTCTTCACTTGGAACGGGAATGCGAAATGTGTACGTTACTCGTATTATGTTAAGTAACGTCGAAACGTCGAATGCAAGAGCAATTGATCTAGTTGAGATCGCACTTGAGCGATGCAACGTGACAAGATACCAGGGCCACCGAATCGAAAGGCACGTTCGAGTGGTAGTAAGAGTCTTGTACATTTTCGTTAGGACGTAAATTTCCCGTTTGGCCGATATACACATGTATACATGTATATTGGATTAAAAAGTAATTTGACAACTTTGTTTTGGGATATGTGACAACGCGTTCAGGTCCAATGGAATCTGTTTTCGGCCGCAAGTTTGGTTTGTGACGCAAAAGACGGGAATAAACAAACTGCTCGAGTATTTATGCCATGGACCGAAATTGAAGACAACTATCGGAAGTTCGGCAACCAAGACGAGTTTTCGATGAAACCCCGATTCTACAANAGAGTCTGGCAACGAAACAAATGTTGAACGTTCGGCAACCACTATCGTTCCTGATAATCGTGAACCGCACGGTGTAAGAAGCTTTGTTACATCTCATATCCTCCAAATAGAATGGGGAGGACTGATCTCGTATTCTTGTTCGACAGTATATATCTCTGGCCACGAAGATCTTTCAATTCATGAATCAGCATTTGATCGGTAGTAAAAGTTCATATGTACGAGAGTATGTGGTAAATGGCTTGGTCGAGCAGCAGATGGTGATACTAGCGGCAATTATCAGGGATTTAGATCACGAGACTGCTAGAACGGAGACCGGTAATTATATAATTATACACAGTTTTACTAGTTATTTCTGTGAATGTCTATGAGATAGAAATGAAAATGTGTTTCAATACATTCCAGGCACCATCTCGGTGTTCTATGGCGCCACCTTAGGCGCTATGTATTCCGAGTTCTCTCAAGCATTGAGTCGTTACACGCACAACTTGTTAGCACGAAACACTTTAAGCGAAAGCCTACAAAACACTCTTCTCCAACATTTGGGCGTGAATCCATGGTCTGGAACGGACAGTACGACTTCTTGTACATGGCCCCTACAAGTGTATCCGAGAACTTTGAGCGTGTTGGCACAGGTGTGTATTGTTCTATTATACATTTGCAATTACGGTCGCTACCGTAATTGCGATCGTAATCGTAATCGTAATCGTAATCGCAATCGTAATCGCAACGGTATCAACGTTCCCGACAGGTTCTTCTTTTGAAACCGCAATCGGAGAAAGAAGCAGCTTGCATAAGTATATGGCATCGTCTGGTGACAACCATGGTGGAAAATGTATGCAATCCACCTTCCACATTCGAAGCAGAAAACGAAGGTAAATTACAAAAGTATAATGGCATATAACGACGAATCAAATTTAAATTTATACGTTTGCAGATTTGAATGTGGAACATGCACAACTGGTATTGATTTTGTTCCATTCGCTTAATTTAATGCAAAAGAAATCGGTTTTGCTCGTAACTGGTAGCGGCGCGGTGCGTTGCAGCGAAGCCGTCAAAACTGCAATGAGGGATTCTCAGCTATTGCACTTGTCGCGATTATTACTATTGCTAGAATACATGATGAAGCATCTTTATGACGCACCTCCCCCATTACTTAAACAAGTATGTGATTACCTTAATTTGCTTTGATTTTCATGGACACGATATCTTGGCGAAGCATTTATATTCGTTTCCCGTACATGTTCACTCGTACGTAATTTCATTTCTTCATTTTTTCACACACATTTCTTCATTTCTTCATTTCTTCATTTCTTCATTTCCTCATTTCTTCATTTCTTCATTTCTTCATTTCTTCATTTCTTCATCTCTTCACTTGGAACGGGAATGCGAAATGTGTACGTTACTCGTATTATGTTAAGTAACGTCGAAACGTCGAATGCAAGAGCAATTGATCTAGTTGAGATCGCACTTGAGCGATGCAACGTGACAAGATACCAGGGCCACCGAATCGAAAGGCACGTTCGAGTGGTAGTAAGAGTCTTGTACATTTTCGTTAGGACGTAAATTTCCCGTTTGGCCGATATACACATGTATACATGTATATTGGATTAAAAAGTAATTTGACAACTTTGTTTTGGGATATGTGACAACGCGTTCAGGTCCAATGGAATCTGTTTTCGGCCGCAAGTTTGGTTTGTGACGCAAAAGACGGGAATAAACAAACTGCTCGAGTATTTATGCCATGGACCGAAATTGAAGACAACTATCGGAAGTTCGGCAACCAAGACGAGTTTTCGATGAAACCCCGATTCTACAATCTTTCTACAACGGAGTGCAATAACCAAAATACTCCTAAGTTGGATGGACTGGTTGGTATCGCTGTTTTTTCACGCGTACATTCAGAAATGTAAAAAAAAAGAAGAAAAATAAATAAAAAATATCAAAATTGTCTAGACGAATACCTGTATCGTAGATAAAACGTACGTCGATGTTACAGGCTTGCAATTTTATTCTGGGCGCACCGGATAAAATGAGATATCCGCTTCTTGTCGATGCACTGATAAATATATTGAATGTCTTGAATCAAACGGATATGGTGAGAAAACCGGAAACCGATGGCAAAGAAAAAGTACCATCCTTCTTGGGATTATGCGCGATTCGGTATTGCTTCTCTATATGTTGGAGGTACGTAATGATAATGCAAAAGAAATCTGTATTAAAAACATCGTGTACTACACTGAACATTCTATGGCGATCTTGCCGACAGATTGTTGTTAATGTTACCACCTTCTACATCGTATATGGACACATTGGCTCTCGGTGAGGAAATTCCTGCTGGACCAATGTTACTTCATTCTCTGATTTGGGGGCCCAGAGCCGCGTACAAAACTTTCACAAGTTGGATGAAGGTAACGCTTTGCTTTCGTCAGACTTCCTGGCGACTTCGAGTCGCGCAGGAGGGTGTATTATTGTATAATAACTGAGAAACGTGAGAAATGTGTTCTTTCACAGGACTGTTTGGTCAGGCAAGGAATGTACACTCAATACGCAGAAAATCTTTTAAAGACCGTATCGTCTACCGTTAATTCCATTAAATACGATGTTACGATCGCAAAGAATTGCATTACCACGTTGAAACCAGAGACAAATTTTCCGAACAACGTGATGCCGAAAAGCGCTTTGCCAAAACTCAGTTCATTGTGTATTCTAGCTGCGATTGTCGGCAAGCTGCAAGTTCTTTTCGACGATAGTATATCAAAAAATCAAAATGAAAACGTTGAAAATGCAAAGTGAGTTGTATTGTACGTGCTCGTGTGATCGTTGCGCGTACATACTGACGCGCAGTGACTCCTCCATATGAACCGTTCGAATATAACGTGATTATTTATTCTGTCTTCAGAAGTCCGCAGACCTCCGAATGCGGGGCCACGAACGCGCCCAAAATGATCAGCAGCATTCTTCCACGTGTCCTTTCGCTGACCGAGGCCATCTTGGCTTCGTGCCGATCGAGTATACTCCATCAAATGATCGAATCTCTGGAACAAGACAGCAAATTCGGTCCCCGAGATTATTCTATACTTAACGATATTGTTTCGATGGCGGGCGCGTATTGGGCGACCGAAGCATCTTTGATCACTTTCTTACCCAATTCTGTGAAATCTGTCCTCGAGAAATGGAAGTCGATCAGCGTTATTCACATTCCTTGGGTGAGTGTCGTGATATCGGTGCTCTGTCTTTTGACGAGCCAACAATCCAAACGTCGTTATGACATCGGTTCTTAAGAAAAACAGTTTGTAAGTTTGTGTAACCAGAACACATTCTGATTTCAGAACTCGTACGCGAACGACATCATTCCGGCAGAGAGTTTCATATTGGTAACCGTTAACCATCACGTAAAATCGCTGTCCGAGTATCCAACGTTCTCCATCAATCCATCTTTGAAGAATTTACTGCATAGCCTGGTCACCTTCATGTCGGAATACGTCACGTAAGCTGGGCACGTTTTTGCCTTATTCATTTTTCTCACATCCAAATTTCATATCGAAATTTCAATCGAATCGTACAATACGAATCTACGATAAGAAAAGTCCAAGATCGGAAACAGAGTGTGAGACGACACGCAAATATTGTTGCTAGGATTGCCACGGCTCCGGAGTACTCGGATCAGGTTCAAGCATTGGATATCTTGATCGCGCTGTACATGGACAGTCGCACCGATTATCTCCAGCACATGGCGAATAGGACATTAACCAAACTTTTGGGTGACAGTGACAACGAGATGCGACAATTACGGGAACATCTCTATATTTTGAATCAAACGTACAATTTGATCATCGACTACACGAGCGATGTTCAAGAGCCCGTAAAGTCAGTATTCGCGAGCGAATCTCCATTAACGATGGATATCCGTGGAACCTGATTTTTTTTTATAGAATTCAATCCATATTTCAGTATCGTGGTCGACGAAAAAATCTTGAAGCGATGTATAAAATATTGGGAGCAGTTATTGGAGAAACCTATCGGGTGCAAGGCCCTGGACTCGTTTTTCGCTCCAAACACCAACAAGTCTCTCGTTTCGGTTTTACTATGCGTAACCTCCCCGCAAACATCGAGACAATTTGCTACTCACGTTTTGCGCTTCTTTAACATGCTGTTCAAGATGGGTAAAGTGTAAATTCGTTTTCGCGCGCCGAACCTTCTTGCATGTAATCGAGGGCGGCACGTTGCCGCCCTCGTTGTCGTCGTTTTCGTTGTACTTGTTCTCGATGTTGTCGTTGTTATCGTTACCGTTATCGTTCGCAGCTGAAAAAGGAAGCGACGCGTCGCTGGAACGTCTTTGCGGATCTGTGTTGAACTTGGCACACGTAGAAACCGAGAAGCTGCAAGCATGGTTGAAACAAGTGATTTTAGGAGGAACCAGCATTTCTCCGAGCGCATCCTCGACCAACATACAAACGCCAACGGTAGTGACGTCGAACGCGTAAGTATACGTTTGCATCGTTTTTACCGTGATAGGCAAAATATAAATTATTCCATTTTCAAGAGACACACACCTCTATACAATTATGTATAAACGACGGAATAATAAATAGGTTGGTTCTCGTTCCTGGTACCAGCGAAGATAAACAAAAATCGGACGAGGCTAACAACGTGTCGAACAACGAGCAAGTACAGTGGGCGATTACGCTGTCCGACGGTTCGGAAAGTAACAATCAGTCGACCAGTATCACCGATGAACAGCAGCAGCAGCAGCAGCAGCAGCAGCAACAGCAACAACAGATCCAACAGCAGCACTCTATGCATGAAAATAGCCGATTGTTGCGGGCGCTTACAAATTATATAGTGAAGGAAAAGAGGTATAGTTTGTGTCGAATTCACAGTCATATTATTATTGTTCAGAGTCGGATCACATCGAGCTGGAAAAAAAACTTGTATGCGTTCTCTTTTGTTTCGTTTTGTTCCGCGTTGATCGGTGGACACACAGCAGCGTGGACGAAGGTGTGCCGGTGGCTATTTTACAAGCACTCATACCGCTGGCTTATCAAATTCTGTCTCCCGCCATCGAAGGAAACGGTTTCTCGGAATTGATGAATGTTATGTCGATGCTGGCCGATGCTGGTTCCGAGAGGGGACATTCGCTGCTGTTCAAAGCTGCGATCGAATGGATGGAGCTATGGTAACTCGGCACGAAACATAATGTATCTATGAAATTTCAGAATCGAGAGAAAAATTAGTTTATTCGTTTCTGGCTCTACAGCAAGGAACAACTGATGAGTAAAGACCATCAAACGTTACTGGATAAGCCATTGGCATTCGTCGAAGCCGGTTGTTGTATACTGAATTACATAGCGGACGTTGTGAGCGCGGTTTGTCCTCAATCTGTACATTCGCAAGACAGAGCAACCAGCCCGCCGTGGGAGGGTACGACACCGATCAACGACTTGAACGATAGCGACTGGGTCGATGATATCCCGCACGAAGATGAAGATAGTATCGCTGAAGATTCCGACGAGGATAGCCTTTGCAACAAACTTTGCACATTCACGATCACCCAAAAAGAATTTATGCATCAACATTGGTACCATTGCCATACATGCAGCATGGTGGACGGAGTCGGTGTATGCACCGTCTGCGCCCGCGTGTGTCATCGGGGACACGATGTTACGTACGCCAAATACGGAAACTTCTTTTGCGATTGCGGCGCCAAGGATGACGGTTCCTGTCAAGCGTTGACGAAACGTAGCCATCAGGCATCCGAACACCAAACTAACGGTACCACCGATACCGGAAACACAGCCTCCAGTTCGATCGGTGGTACGAGCGGCACCGTTGCTACAAATTATGGAAACGCGCTTGGAACTTCGATCGAGAATCGCGATGTTCTCGGCAGCAATCTACGCAGACGTACATCCAGTCCGGTTTACTTTTACGATAAACAAGAACGTCAAAGCCGCGAGAAACAAAGAACCTGCTACTTGTCCAAGCAGCTAGGTGAGCGACAGCGAAGCATTTTAGAATTTTATTATAGAGATTCGAGATTTGAAAGTATCGAAATATAAATGTTTTCAGAAGCATCGAAAGACTGGATACAAGGACACTTGTGGAAAAGCGGTCTGGTACCGTCGTTGGTAGATTTAGCGCGCGCGCTGGTACCAGCCGTGGATGCGTTTTGTCAGAAAAATTCGGCGGTTGGTTGTCACGCTCGTGCCCAAGCTGCGCTCAAACAGCTGCACACTGTCGATAAGAAATGCGAATATACCGATCAATTGATGGTGCGTACAATGTACACGTACTATAATATGATACTATACGATCGTCGTGTTTTACTTAGTTCATTTAGTTTACTAATTTCTCGAACGGAAGTCGTGCCGCCGATTTATCTGTTTTATAACGTTCGATTATCGCGATTTACAGCTTCCCACTTTGGGCTCGCAAGAAGGTGCATTTGAAAACGTACGAATGAATTATTTCGGTGATCAAGGACACACCATCAGGCAGCTGTTATCCGCGCATATAATACGTCGAGTTGCGATGTGCTGTTTGTCGTCGCCGCATGGTAAAAGGCAACACTTGGGTAAGGAAATTGTGAAAACGAACTCTATCGTAACTATATTCCGAAGTAACGAGTGAATGAATAACCGATGGAATTTGATTGTTCGCGCAGCGGTTTCACACGAGAAAGGCAAGATAACGGTACTGCAGTTGAGCGCTTTACTGAAACAAGCAGATTCGTCCAAGAGAAAATTGATATTGACGAGACTCGCCTCTGCGCCTGTGCCCTTCACTGTTTTGTCGCTGACCGGCAATCAATGGAACGAAGACTTTTTAGCAGTGTGCGGTTTCAGGGATTGCCACGTATTAACTTTCAATACTTCTGGAACAGTTTCGGATCATTTGGTGCTGCATCCTCAGTTGGAAACGAGTAATTTCATTATAAAAGCAATTTGGCTACCCGGTTCGCAGACGCAATTGGCATTGGTCACAGCGGATTTTATAAAAATTTATGATCTTGGAAAGGACGCGCTTTGTCCCCAGTATTATTTCCTCGTACCATCCGGAAAGATAAGAGACTGTACGTTTATGCACTCCGAGGATGGCGTATTTTCTCTGCTAATAATGCCTTCGACCGGCTATATTTGTGGTCAAGCAATGAACGAGGAAAGCTCGGCGAAACACGGTCCTTTCTATGTAACCAATATCCTGGACGTATATCACCCAGAGATACAAGACAACGGACAGGTTGGCGGTGGTGGCGTATCAATTTATTACTCGCACGCTTTACAATTGTTGTTCTTTAGTTACGCGTGCGGAAAAAGTTTCGTAGCACCCCTGAAATGTATCAATAGCGATTTGACCATTATATTTCAAATCAATCTTGCCGGCAACAAAACTACAAACGGAAACAAGTCGAATAACAATCAACCGCAACCGTTGTGTCAGTGGAGCGAAGTACCGAATCATCCTGGATTAATATGTTCGGTATTACAAACAAGCAACAATCCGGTCATATTAATGATCAAACCGGATACGATAATGATCCAGGAAATCAAAGTGATTCCTGCAAAGGCGAAAATCATGGATATGGTAACGATACGTCATCCTAGCTCGAATGCTGAACAACGAACAACGTTGATACTATTGTGCGAAGACGGTAGTCTAAGAATTTATATGGCTGGAATGGAACAAACCGGATATTGGATGTCACCGTCCGTGCAACCAATGGGTACAATTGCCACTGTTAAACCGACGAGGAAGAAGAAAGTAACGAAAACGGTGAAACCCTCGGGTTCCGTTAGCTTCTCTATAGATTTTTTCGAACATTGTCAAGTGATAAACGACGTTGAATTTGGCGGCAACGATTTGCTTCAAATTTACAACGTTGCCCAAATCAAGCATAGACTGAACACCACAGGAATGTACGTTGTTTCCATGAAAACGATGGGATTTAACGTTGAAGTTACCAATAACGACGCCGTTTTAGTTATGACGGGAATCAGAGTGTCGCTTGGAAGTCAGGACGTTCAAAGAGCGCCTCTTTACATAGAGGTAATTTCTCGGAAATTCATCTGGAATTGTTCAAGTTTCTATCGCTGTAACAACACATGCTGTTTTCTGTTTTCCTTTTCAGGTATTCGGTAGAACTATTTATACAACTGTAACGAAGAGCCGATGGTTCGATATTCCTTTAACTCGGGAGGAAAGTCTTCAAGCTGACAAAAAACTGACCATCACTTTTGGACCGTCGCAAGATCCCGAAGGTGTGACCATGGTAGATTCTATAAAAATGTACGTTCAGTGTTACTTTTACGAAACCGATCGCGATTGCGATTACGACAAATCACGAAGTCGTCATGCCCTACTCTAATTTTCTTCTTGCCGTCTTGTTCGCGCGCGCGTTTAGATACGGGAAAACGAAAGATGCGTTTGGTTGGCCCGAAGAAATAGAAGATACATCGACCGGCCAATCCGCGACTGCTCCGGTAGCAACAATAAACAGTGACGCGGACAATGCTGTCGCAACACCAACTCCATTGTCCTCTGTCGACAGGTATGCGAAATATAACGTGATTAAAGCAAGTTTAAGTTCTTCCTCAAAATGCGATAAATTTTCGCGTCTTTTGAACGTTAAAGACAAAAAGAAAAAAAACTTTTATCATTACGTGTATGTGTGTGTAATGCTTTAGCTCCACGAAGGATAATTTCTTTAATATCGAAAGGTAAGGAGAACTTGAGCTACAATTAAATTCTAACTATACGAGATCAAACATTAGGATAGGTTGAATTGTTTCTGTCATGAATTATAGCCGAGCTGAGTCGAGAATTATGTTATTGTAGACTAGTCGCAGACATCCTGGAGGTTTTAGAACTGTCTTTCGATGTTTCTTCGAACGACGAGAATCGATTGCCGTTAAAAACCACGACTATAGACGTCGCCTCAAGATTATTAATACTACCTACTCCGCCAGCAGTACAAATGCATACAACGGCGCTTTTAGCCTCGCTACATTCGTCGAAACAAGCGTATCATCTACACAAGGTAAACGATCGTTTGCAGCTCCGAGTACCATTTGCCTGAATAATTTTTATTTTACTCGAGACAATCGCGGGACACGATGTAACCCGCGTTGTACCGTTGTCGTATCGTTGACAGGATCACGTACTGCTGTCGCACGTATTGGAATCATTGAAACCAATGAGAAAGCTGAACGACGCCCGCGACATAGATGCGAAAAACTTTTACAGGCTTGTGCTTATCGTTCGAGGCATTTCCGTTTCACAACCACAGAACCTTGCCAAATTTACCGACCAATATACGAATAAACCGATAGATGAAACCGATGGTAAGCCTGGTATTTTTACCGATACAGAGTGTGCGCGTAGGTCAATTGCGAATATACTCATCCATCTGATTTTACATCTTTGTTTAGTACCAATTTTTGAGAAGGATCGACAGAGTCTCGGTGAATCTAGTAAAACCGTGGACGAGAGTCAGCAGCATCTGGTCGTGCAACTGATGGACATACTATGGGCTTTGCACATGGCTTATCCAAAAAATATGGCTTTGGCACCGGTGGTTATTCCTGGACTCACCAACGCTGAAGCAACGATACACGCGATCGTAGAAATAATCCATGCGTTTGCTACCTGTGACGTCGAGAAGAATGTACCTTTAGCTGCGAAACTGTATCTACAACTTTTGCTTTCATCGGATGTAACGGTCAGTTTTAGCGCTAAGCAAGCGATCATTCGTGTTCTTCGACTGAGGTACAAGAGAAGAAGAGTTTATATACCGAGTCCTCCTAATTGTAGCACACCAGGTAAAGTAGTAGAAAACTGATGGTATAGTTTTTTTTGGTTTACCGTTAATTGCTAATTGTCGGGCCGATCGATCGAGATTCATCATCGTTTTGTGAAAACTTATAGGGGCGGTCGTGGATTCGGAAGATAAGCCAGCATCGTCGTCCGCGCAATTGCAGCCGCAGTCGCAGTCGCAGTCGCAGTCGCAGCAACAATCGCAACCGCAATCGCATCGGGAAGCTCTTACGACGGTATCAGCGACTTCGGCGACGTCGACAACGTCGTCGGCTGGATCCGCGATGGATCGCGAAACAGTGGATCAACAGTTGGCTGGCGACGTCGAATCGATCGTGTCGGTGGACGACCCCGTAGCAGTAATGCTCGCAGCCAACAGCAACCAAGGATCTAGCAGCCCACCTTCCGCAGCCATGTCGTCCGTCGCAGCCAGCAGTGGGTCTGCCGGTGCTGGGAGTTTGGCTGCAGGTAGCAGAGGATCAGGATCAGCCGCTAGAGGAACAGTCAGTTCGTTAGAAACATTGCTCACCGCAGGCAGTTTTCCACCGATTCTGGATGTTCCGCCAGATATACATTACGAAGCTATGATGGAAGTTGCGATGGCTCTTAGTTTACAAGATCAAGATGGAGGACGTTTCGATGTGAGAGCTTTACGACAAAGATTCCATCAAAACATGTCCCTCTTGCAAGGTTTCGATGGATTGGTTCAGGTGCAGGGTACAAGTCAGGTCGGTAATTGTACGCAGACATTTCTTCTATTATCTAGACGATAGTCGACTCGACGTATAACGAATTGACGCGCGCAGGCTCAGGAAAGCGGTGGACATTATTCGGATACGACTGCTTCTGCTGGCGGATCCGACGACGAGAGATCAACAGCGGCCACCGACGGTAGCACTTTGCGAACGTCTCCGGCGGAGCAAGTGAGTTGTTCCACGAGCATTTCGTTTTCAGAAGTAACGTTCGAAAGCTATTTGTCGTATACTTTTCCTACTTTGTCATTCTTATCGCTATTTACACGATACCATGTAACGTACAACGTGTGAAAAATGAAGGTTACGACTTGGAAACATGTAGGGTGTGGGATACAAGATAGATGGTACGAAAGGACAAAGAGATCGAGAGATTTTGCAAGAGAGGGCGTATGTGTGCGCGTGTACGTGCGTGCGAGTGAGCGAGAATGAGAAAGGGCGACATGGACTGCCAAAGTTTATGTATCGATTGTTAGTAACGTTTGGGGCGCATTTTATGTTAGGGTGGTAGTGGTGGTAGCAAAGGTAGCGAAAGCGGTGGAAGCGAGAGCGGAGGAAGCGCCGTAGACAGCATAATAGGAGAGCATAATATATCGGGCCGAAGTTCTGCATACGGAGACAATGTTCCTGATTCTATACCTCCAGTGGGAGGAATTGGAGTCATTCAAGCGCCACGTTCCGAAATTAATACCGTGGGTCTTCACGCGACTTTTACCGTAAGTGCTGTCATCATTGCCGTGGTCGTTGTGGTCATGGTCGTGGTCTTTAAGGTTCGCGTCCGCCGTAACAGTTACCACATCGTTATTTTTTTTCGTTTAACCTATAAAACTACATTAGTCATTTATATTCAAACCTGTATAGTTTTGTATTTGTTCGGTTATGTTTTCTCTCTCTCTCTCTCTCTCTCTCTCTCTCTCTCTCTTTCTCTCTCTTTCTTTCTCTTTCTGTCCGTTTTCTTTTTCCTTATGTCAATAATTTGTCATCATTTCGATGTTTGACTCTCGCGAAACAACGCTCTCCCTCCTATATGCACCGAGCTCCACTCAATCTTGTTCATTTTGTATCAGACAGTTGGCGTGTCTCATGAAGCATCGAGTGTGCGAAAGTTTGTCGTGAATGATACCATGGTCGTTGTGCATTTTTCGCATCGTTTCTCTTCTCTTCTCTTCTCTTCTATTCTATTCTATTCTATTCTCTTCTATTCTTTCTTCACTTCACTTCACTTCACTTCACTTCACTTCACTTCACTTCACTTCACTTCACTTCACTTTTCTTCACTTTTCTTCTTTCTCTCTTTTTCTTTCTCTTTTTCTATTGTAATATCGATGCAATCTATCGAAGTAAAAATTTACAACCGTATACATCCTATGAAAGTGAAATCGTTTCTTTAGGTCACCGAACAGGAAGAAGGCACGGAACAGGAACAAGAGCATGCTACCGAACAAGAAAACGACACAAGCTGCGAGACCTCGACGAAACTGTATACTGTGCGATTATTGTTACTCGACAAGCTTGTACAGTTTATACCGCATTTGGCGAACGTACCTGGAGTCATGGCCATTCCATTTATGCAGGTTTGCCTCCTTTTTACACTTTCGATTTTCCTTGGTATCGCCTCGTTTTTGCGACAAGCTTTCAATGGACATTCTTATTTCAGGTTCTACTATCGTTGACAACGCACTTGGACGGCCAGGAAGAGAAAGACAAAGCTTGCGTCGAGCGATTGCTACGAACATTGGTGAAAGAATTAGAATTAGATAAACCGGATACACAAGATATATGTCAACGTAATAACAAGCGGGAAGTTCATTTGGTTATTATACGTTTTCTAAGTAAGTACGGTATTCGACGTCGCCCGATGTCGCGTATTTGAAAATTTTACAATGTACCGTAACTTCGCATTTACCTTCTCTCTTAGGCATCCTAATGTCTCGGTGGAAATGTACTGCTAAAGTACAAACTGAAAATTCAAATTCCGTTTCACAAATGGCTGCTGTGATACTAAGTAAAGCCGGGATAATCGATTATTGTTTGACGCTGTTGAAAGCATTATTAGAATATTGGAAAACGTAAGCGCGTTTTGTGTTTCTTGTTCGATACGCGTGTGCCTCTGGTTATCTCTTATATCGTTGACCACCGTGTGCTGGGTTGCAGGACATCGAACGAAGAAACTAATACTATTCTCGGTGGTCAACTGCTCAAAGAACACCTGACAACTTCTCCGCCAAACATGTCGCCGTTCTTTTTACGTCATTACGTCAAAGGACACGCCGGGGACGTATTTGAACCGTATCCACAGTTATTGACCGAAATGGTGTTACGATTGCCCCATCAAGTTCATAAGCACGCAGAAAATACAGCTGCACAGCCAGCGTTCGAACAACCGTGGTATTATTATCTTTGCGAATACATGATGTCTTATCAGACACCGTGCGTCAGAAGACAAGTACGCAAGTTGCTACTTTTTATTTGCGATAATAAAGAAAAGTACAGACAATTGCGCGATCTGCACGCTCTAGTTTCGCACGCTCAGGTAAGTTGTCGTTTCTTTCTTTCTTCGCATGTTTCGACTTTCACCAGAATTTTTGTTCGTTCGATTCTTTCCAGTCGGTTCAACAGTGCTGTGCCGCCGGTGGTTTCGAGCCGTTTCAAACGCGTCCGCATGCGATCAACTTGCCTTACGATTCTCTCGTCGAGTTGATCGAACATTTGAAATGTTGCGTCGAAATTGCTACTAGTCGAACTGGAAATTGGCAGCGGTTCTGTTTGAAACAGAATACAGTATTGTCGTATCTGTTCACGGTATCGACACTGTTGGACGAAGGTGTCAGTCCTACCGTTTTACAACTTCTACAGTGCGCTATATGTTCAAGCAACAAATCGAAAGAGCGAAAGGAAAACAAGACGAAGGTGAGGTTTATTCTTGTCCTTCGCGTCGATGGTACTTTTCTTCTTATTTTGGATCGATCGTTGTTATTATTTCATTCGTTTAGGAATCGAAATCGGGCGGTACCGGAACGACGAAGGAAAGACGGGAACGTGAAAAATCCGAAGACTCCGATACGGAAGCGAAATTCGAAGAAGCTCAGTGTTTAGCTCTGGTCGAACAGATCCAGAAACAAGTGGCGCCACACTCGTTGACGAAATTTATACAAGCCTTTTTACTGGAGACTAACAATACCAATGTTCGCTGGCAAGCACACTCCTTGATACTGGCAATTTATAAGTAAGCAACGAAGCCGTAATTAAATGTTATAATCAAAATTCGCGCGTCGCGTTCGTTTCTAAAGGAGAACATTGAAATGCGATCGAAAACGATTTTGCAGGAATTGTGGTCCGGACGATCAAGAAGTTTTACTAGATCTGTTGTGGCGATTGTGGCCCCTTTTGCCTACCTATGGTCGAAAAGCCGCACAATTTGTGGATTTGCTTGGCTACTTTTCTTTAAAGACTGCGCGTACAAGCAAGAAAATGCCTACTTACATGGAACAGGCAGTGGCGGTGTTACGTGCACAAAATCAGTTGCTGACTCGACATCCAAACGCGAATCTGTACGCGAATCTCGCTCAGTTCGTCGAACTGGATGGCTATTATTTGGAAAGCGAGCCTTGCTTGGTCTGCAACAACCCCGAAGTTCCCATGTCGACGATCAAACTCTCTACGATTAAAGTCGACTCGAAGTTCACTACAACCACGCAAATCGTCAAATTGGTTGTCAGTCAAACGATCAGCCGTATCACTCTTCGCATAAGCGATTTAAAGAGAACGAAAATGGTGCGTACCATCAACATATATTATAACAATCGGTCGGTCCAAGCAGTGGTGGAATTGAAAAATAAGCCAGCGATGTGGCATAAAGCGAAGAAAATAATGCTGGCGCAAGGACAAACGGAAATCAAGATGGAGTTCCCATTACCGATAGTCGCTTGCAATTTAATGATTGAGTACGCCGACTTTTACGAGAACATCCAAGCCTCCTCGGAGACTCTGCCGTGCCCGCGATGTTCGGCGAACGTGCCAGCGAATCCAGGCGTCTGTCCAAATTGCGGGGAGAACGCGTTCCAATGTCACAAGTGCCGCGCTATCAACTACGACGAGAAGGATCCTTTCCTTTGTCACGCCTGCGGTTTCTGTAAATACGCCAAGTTCGATTATACGTTGACCGCGAGACCTTGCTGCGCCGTCGATCCGATCGAAAACGATGACGATCGTAAGAAAACAGTTGTAACGATCAACGCGTTGCTCGAAAAGGCTGACAGAGTATATAAAACCCTGATTTCGAACAAGCCAACGTTAGAAATGTTATTGATCAAGATATCGGAGCACCGATTGGACCGAGGTCTGGAGGACGGTGCCGGTAGCGGAGCCGGTACCGGTTCCAGTTCCGGTTCCGGTGGAAGCACGCAAGTCAACAGGGCCATACAGTTGCTCGCTCAAAAGTATTGCGGCGAGTGTAAATCCTCGTTCGAGGACCTTAGCAAGATCATACAGAGAGTACTCGCGTGCCGTCAAGAATTGGTGGCTTACGATCGTCAACAGCGAGGTCAGAGCTCCACCTCGTCGAACGCCGCGATCAGTGGTGAATCGTCCGTTACCGCTACCACCACTACCGCCGCCGCCGCCGCCGCCGCCATCGCTACCACTGCTACCGGCACTAGCACAAGCAGTAGCACCAGCAGTAGCAGCAGCAGTAGCGCCAGCAATAGCACCAGCACCAGCACCAGCACCAGCACCAGCACCAGTACCAGCACTAGTACCGCGATTAGAGAGGAATCTTCGTCGACGGCAGGAACGAACGCGGCTGCGGATAGTCCAACTACCGGTAGCACCTCGGCTGCAACCGACGCCGTAACAACGGAACCTGTTACCTTCGTGGCCGTTGCTATGCCACAAACGGTGGGTCGATGTTACGGTTGCGCGACCGCAGCCACGGAACATTGTCTGACCCTGTTGCGCGCACTCGCCACGAATCAAGGCGCCAGAGAGGTTCTGTGCAAACAAGGATTGATTCAAGAATTGGTCGAGCATAATCTACGGAAGGGTACGGTGCAGATGCAAGAGGAGGTTCGCCAACTGCTTTGCCTAATTACCAGAGACAATCCGCAGTCGAGCAAAGAACTTTGTTCTCTGTTGACCGAGCGAATTACTTTGACGCTACGCGGTCGTGTGCCCACTTCGGATCTATCGGTAGCGGTACGTCACGAAATGGCGTTGCTGGCTGCTCTGGTTCAGAAAGAAGACACCTGCTGGGAGCAGAAGCTGCGTTGCGTGATGCAGTTGTTCTTGATGGCTTGCAAGGAATCGAAAAGTCCCGTGGTGATGGAGAGCATCATAGTACCGTGTCTCAAGATACTTCAGAGATTGGTGAAGCCGGAGCAACCGGTGTCCAGGAAGAACAAGGACAAAGCGATCGAGACGTTGGCGACCGTGCAGCCGCCCGAGGGCATTACCATCGACGTGAACAAATGGCTGAACGGCGACCCGAGACATTCGTATTCCGAATGGATTCGTCGCATGCCGAGGAAGAAGACCGGGCCACCGACCGTAAAACCGATGCAGAAAGAGGAAACGCGCGTTCTTTATTTAATGGAGAAGTACGGGCACCGATGGCGTAACCGATGCGCAAGACAGCAAGGCGTGCAACCGTTGAAACTGGCCGACGGAGCATGGTTGAAGGAGGTCTTGTTCAATCCGAGCTCGCGACTCGCGCGACAGGTGGCTTGCTACATGATAGAGAGCCTTTGTCAAGGTACCGAACGTAAAAAGGAAGTACTGGTGCTGCTCACTTGTTATCTGGAGGAATTGCGCACGGCTGGCGAAAGCAGCACCGAGTTTCTCACGTTGTACGAGAGCTTGATCAAGCAACCTCCTTGGAAACAATTCCTGGCTGTGCGTGGCGTAATGACCTTGCTCGCGGATCTATTGACCAGAGAAATCGAACAGTTGCATCGGCTGGAGGAAACGACGTTGACCAGTGATCTGGCGCAAGGTTACTCTCTGAAAATGCTGACGGAACTGTTGGCCACGTTTCTCGAGCAAGAGAACATCAAACAACAGTACAAAGGTCGACTGGTAGGCGCCGTTCTGAACGGTTATCTCTCGTTGAGGAGGCTGGTTGTTCAACGAACGCGGCTAATCGACGACACTCAGGAAAAGCTGCTCGAGCTGCTCGAAGAGATGACCACCGGTACGGAAGAGGAAACGAAAGCGTTCATGGCGATATGCGTCGAAACCGTGCAAAAGTACAGCATCGAGGATGTCCGCACTCCGGTATTCATATTCGAGAGACTCTGCTCGATCATATACCCGGAGGAGAACGATATCGGCGAGTTTTTGCTGACTCTCGAGAAGGATTCGCAACAAGAAGATTTTCTCCAGGGCAGAATGCTGGGAAACCCGTACAGTAGCCTGGAGCCGGGTCTGGGACCGCTGATGCGGGACGTGAAGAATAAAATTTGTCAGGACTGCGAATTGGTTGCCTTGCTGGAGGACGACAACGGCATGGAGCTTTTGGTCAATAACAAGATCATCAGTCTCGATCTGCCCGTGGAGGAAGTGTACAAAAAGATTTGGGTCCTGGAAGGCGGCGGGTGCGATTCGATGCGGGTCGTCTATCGAGTGCGAGGACTGCTCGGGGACGCTACCGAGGAGTTTGTCGAAAGTTTGAACGCGAGCAGCGAACAAGAAGTGAACAACGAAGAAGTCTATAAGATGGCGAACGTTTTAGCGTATTGCGGAGGACTGAAAGTTATGTTGGACAGGCTAGCTGCCATACAGGACGTGAACAGAGCTCGACCTCTCCTTCAGGTTCTCTTGAAGCTGTTTCGATTGTCGGTGAAAGTCAAGAAGAACCAGGAGGTTTTAAGCAAGCCCGAGCTGGGTGCGGTTACGGTTTTCCTAGACGTACTGCAACGTTGCCTCGAAACCGAGTCGGAGAATTCCCAAGCGAAAATCACCGAACAACTGCTGGATATCATGGAGACGATCCTAACGCACGCAGCTTCTCAGCCATTGTCGTGTTTCGAAGCTTTCTCGCGTACCCTGGGCGGACCCGAGCACATCAAATCCCTCCTATCCTGCACTCAATCGACAGCGGTCAGACAGACCAACAACGTGCTGGCACACCTTGCGCGTGTACTTGCCGCGCTTACCTACGGCAACCGGGAGAAAATGGCTTTGCTCTGCGATTACTTCGAGCCTGTGTTAAATTTTTACAAATTCGATTTCGTGCATTCGCCGGAGGACGAACAAAAGCTCGAACTGTTCTGCGTTCTCACTCAGGCCATCGAACACAACGCGATCGGGAACACCTTAAAAGATTACATAATAAGCATGGGCATCGTAAAGGACGCTTTCGAATACATAACCGTGCACGCACCTTGCGTCAAGCCGACGCTTCTGCGAACCGATAGCGACGAATTGAAAGATTTTATATCGAAACCAGCGCTGAAATACATTCTACGGTTCCTTACCGGATTAGCGACAGACCACGAGCCGACACAGCTGGCAGTCTCGCAAACTGCGATCAGTATAATACACAGATTGGAACAGGTATCGTCGGACGAACATGTTGGTTCCTTAGCGGAGAACTTACTGGAGGCGTTGTGTACGAATAAACGCGTAGCCGAACTGATAGAAGAAGCCCGACAGCATACTCGCAGCGAAAAGAAACGGCTAGCGATGGCGATGCGAGAAAGACAGTTGGGCGCGTTAGGCATGCAGACAAACGATAAGGGTCAAGTAGTGGCCAATGTAACGATTCTTCAACAGATGGAAGACCTAGGCGATGAAACAGGATTGGTTTGCGTCATTTGTCGCGAGGGATACAAATTCAAGCCGAACATGGTAACTATAATAATCGGCATCTTCCTTTATACGTATACATATACATGATATATCCCCAATGTTTGATTTGATTCGATTCGATTTGATTTATTCGTTTTCAAGGTTCTGGGCATTTACACGTTTACCAAACGTTGCAACGTGGAAGAATTCGAAACGAAACAGAGAAAAACAGTAGGGTACACAACTGTCACGCATTTCAACGTAGTTCACGTAGACTGCCATATGTCGGCTGTGAGACTGGCACGTGCGCGGGACGAGTGGGAAAGCGCAGCCCTGCAAAACGCGAATACCAAATGTAACGGACTTTTGCCGTTGTGGGGGCCTCAAGTTCCGGAATCTGCTTTTGCTAGTTGCTTAGCAAGACACAATACCTATTTGCAAGAGTGCGCTAGTCATCGCGACATCTCGTATTCCTCGACTGTGCACGACTTGAAATTATTATTGTTGCGATTCGCTCAAGAGAAGAGTTTCCACGAAGACACGGGAGGAGGAGGACCCCAGTCGAACATGCACATGGTTCCTTATTTAATTCACATGGCTCTCTATGTAATCAACACGTAAGTCCAAGAGACTGTACACAGTTTTCTATTCACCTTGACGTTCTACCGCGCATCGATCCATAATAATGCATTCCGCGTTTCCATATAGCACACGCTCCGCAACGCGAGAAGACAAAACTTTAACCCTATACTTGGAAGTACCTCCCAGCTCGGCGTGGCTCGAGAGTTGCTACGAAGCCGAGGGGCCCTTCTACCAGTGTACCATTTCTCTCCTGCTTCTGACACCGGCACGTTGGAAAGCATATAAAATTACGCATTTGAACAGAATGATCGTTCTCGCTCATCAACGATACCTTTCACCCTCGGCTCCTACCAAAACCATCGTCGATGTCACCGTCAAGGATTACACAGCGTACAAGAGCGCCTTGATATTCTTTGGTCTAATCGATTCTATTTATGCAAACTTTTTCAAGGTATGTTGTTTCGTTCCTGCGCCCCTATATACTCTTGTGTATCTCTTCACTGTTTATTTCATTCTAGAAAGTTCATGTACTTTCCGACGATCAGTGGCCTTCAGTTTTAGCCGAATATATTAGACATAACGATGAAGCCATGTTGAAAGCTTCGGAACGTGTACTCGCTACTTATCGTGACGAACTGTTACCTTGTGCATCTTTCGAGGAGTTCTGTGACGTTGTCGGTAAGTAAACGAAAGTACGATAAGAGAAACATTGTTCACCAGTTACCGATATCGCAACCGTTGCAGGTTTATTGGAAGACATAACGAATCCCTCTACGTATATAAGTGACATCATACAAAGTCTCGGTTAGAGAACAATCTGTTGACAACTACGAATAGGTGGATTGAATTGAACTGAACTGAACTTAATTGAATTGGATTTAAATTGAAAGAAAGAAGAACGAGAGAGAGAGAGAGAGAGAGAGAGAGAGGACAAAATTGTTCTTCTACGTAAATACATAATTTGTCTTGAAACTTTGGAATTTCTTTTGTTTTATTTTTGTTTCTCTTTGCTTCGAAAGCATTATTATCACTACTTATGTCTATCCTATGAGCTCCTACAACGACGAATCTCGACTAATATTGGCTAAAAGAAAATACAACTAGTATTCTCGCTTTGTACATTGCGAGTTAACTTGCTTTCCATAGAGAAAAAGCCCATTTACTGTATTATCGCGCGTGTTGTGTTACTCAACCCTATAATTGTACGTTGGAAAAAAAGAAGTCTGTGCTTTAATAAAATACGAAATACCTATTTGTAGTAGTTATTGCGATTCGTAAAAATGTTTCTGTCGAATTAAATGTGCTTTGCAAGTAACAAGATATCGAAATGTGTATGACGAATGAATCGAACGCTGTTTTCAGGTACGAAAATATATGTTTTATTCTCGATTTATTCACATAAACGTTTTCAATACAAGCATCTTTTTTCATTAATTTTTTAAACTCTTTTTCTTCTCTCGTATAGTAGTCGAAATATATTATACACGATACTTGTAAGAATTCAGATATTTCTCTACGTAGTTTGTGGATGCCTCGCGCACGAGTGTCTATGAGAGTGAGCGAGAGTGAGCGAGTGTGAGGCGAGGGTGGTAAAAAGTGGGGGAGGGAGTGTGTTACAGGTCACAGGCTCCAGGCTCACAGGATCTTGGTGTGTACCTACGCTTCCGATTACAAGGACACGATGAAATATTGAAGTTTCACAAGTGACGCGATGCTAGAAATATGGGGCAATGATTATTTATATAATAAATATCGAAACCATGAGTAACAATCGTTCGCGCTTACACGGAGAGTTCTACCAACGATGCTTTATGCTCGCGTCCCATTCATTTTTCGTAACCGTTAATTCAAATCAAGGTATTGTCTAATAACTTAAATCTATTCGACTTAATGTATTCTAGTTCGAATCTATATAGACACGTGTATGAGTTGGAATGTACACTTTATGCGTTGCGTTGTGTTTTGCGATAATAAAAAGTGTTACACCACTTTTCATAATTTCACACGGAAGACGGGGGACGACCAACGAAACCACGAACAATGCTGCAAACGAAAATTCTGAAAACGTCCAAGATTAAAAAGGAAAATATCTTTTTAACGTGCATGAACGCATTTGACACAAATCTTTTGAACATGGCAAACGAACTGTCTTTCCCCAGTTTATGTATCGCTCTTCCATAATTTAATAGTTTTATCATTTTCAAGAGCAGCCGAAGCTATAATGTTATCCGTGGGATGACAGGTTGTACACAGCACAACATCTACGAGTTAATAAAAGAGATTGCATAAAAAAATACATCGTAGTTTTCTATACGTAGAACTTTTTATCTTATTCGATTATTATTATTATTGTACCTGTGTGACCTTGCAATTTTTGAACTATCTCTTTGGTCTGTAAATTCCAGATGTATACCATATTGTCTTCCGAACCCGAAACGATCCACTGCGAAGAACAAAGAAAAATTTAATAAATTCATGGAACCGTTGTGAACGACGAGTATCGAAATATTATTAGATACATACATGCATAAATACAATATGCAGAATACACGTACCTTCCCTCCTGTCACGGAAAAGTTTGCAAATATACAATATTTCTCGTTCTTATGACCTGTATACGTTTTCAAACATTTTCCTTTGCTATAGTCCCAAAGTTTCAATGTATTATCTAGCGTAGCTGCTAAAATATATTTTCCATTTGGCGAAAACTTTACAAACGACACAGGTGGATTGTCATCGTCTATTAAAGTTTTTAGACACTGGCCCGATGCTGTATCCCAAATTCGACTGGACAGTTAAGTATCGTTTAACATAATTTTCGATTATCCATTTAACTGTACTCGCATATGCTTGCACTGTTCTTTTTTTTTTGCAAACTGGAAGATAAATACTCACCATAATCCGTCGTAGCTACTAGAAACAATTAACGATCCATCCCTGTTAAAGTGTACCGCGCTAACAGGATCTGAATGGGCGGGTAACGTTTTCAAACATTTTCCAGTCCTTACATCCCAAATTCGAACGCTTTCGTCAAACTAACGATAGTCTTTATAATACCAATATTCTAAGCGATCATAATTAAACGAACGATCTATACGCGAGCAAACTTCTATTTACGTCAACGTATAATGTACTATTTATGTACGTTTATTTTTTAACTTTCATTTATTTATTCTTTCATTAAAACGTACACAGAGCATGCACAGACATACAGAAGCTTGCACGCATAAAGAAATACACAGAAATACTCACAGAACCGGATACTATAAGATTCGATTGTGGATTAAAATTGCAACAAAAGACATAGTTACTATGACCCTTTAGCGTCTTTAAACATTTGCCCTGCAAACGAACAGAATAACATATAAAAGGATCATATTTAATTGTAGTTTTTAAACCATCCAAGAATGAAAGGAATAAAATTATTTTTTAATGCCAGAAAGTAAGCCGGAGACTATGTAATTCTCTCTTATGCGAACTTACAGAACTTAATTCCCAAATCTTCAGTGTTTTATCATCGGATGCGGATACTAATAACCTACTATCGCTGGACCAGGCTACATCGGAGATACCTAGTTTGTGACCCGATATAGTTTTTTCAAATTTACCATCGTACGATCCCCATATTTTGATCAATTTATCCGCAGCTAAAAGTAAAATATTAAATTTAGCTTAGTTAGTATTCTACTTTAAAAAATATCATTTTAATTGAAAAATATCTATTTACAAGAACTCGCAAGCCATTCTCCGTTGGGACTAAATTTCACAGATGAAACTGCTTTAGTATGACCTGCCAAAGTGTACTTTAAGGTATAATTTGGTTTCTGAAAAATAAAAGAAAAACAAAACAAAATATAATAAAGAATATAATAATATGATACGATGTGGAATAGAAGAAGAGTTCGAATGAATAAAAACAATGTAGATGATAAAGAAACAGAACTTCAAAAGAAACAGTGCATGCTTCATTGTCCTCACCACTGCTGAGCTGCTCTTAGTTCCGCTGGAAGGAGCAGCTGCCGTATTATTGACGGATGTTTGATGTCCTGGCGATGGTCCGAGCGGTACCATTTTTGTTAATTATTCCGATCGATGTATCAACAATTTATATGGAATAGAACACAGTGCGTACATATGAATGAAGGCTATGATAAATCACACGAGGAAACACTGACGATTCGCGGTGTTTTTGCCATTCGAAATTCTCATTAAAGTCCAGAAGCAATGTACACTTGCACGTTAGAGAACAACCAAATTTATTCGTAATCGATCGTTCAAATAAATGTATTTGACAATATTCTCAAGTTGTAACGTGCGTAGAGTTCTTCATTAAATATATCGTTTTACATTCTTCAGATCACCAATGCACATGTGATCGAGAAACATCTTGTGTTGACTATTGCTACCTACCGAGCGTCGAACTACAGAATTCGAAGTTTGTAAGAAAGTCTGAAACTTCGATATGTTTTTATCGATACAATATGTTTTTAATTTTTGTTTTCGTCTTCTGTTATTAGGAAATATGTACATCGATAGATCAGTATCCTATGAAGTAGTATCTTTGAATTGTTTGCGAATATGTATCTCGGTACATGCATATACATACTAAATGTACATATGTGTACACATATAAGACAGAAAACAATAAAACCGCTACCTTCGTGACATTCGAGGATCTGTGGCGGTGGCGGTCTGCAGCAGCAGTATGCAAACCTGCAGTGTTACAGTGACCTGCACGCCTCTGCTGGCAAACATCAAAACTGACCAAAACTAGCATCATGTATGTACCACCTTAGAGACCCATCGATCTTAGAACATATAAACCTTAGAGCATATACAGTAATGGGACCTACTCCTGCACGCTTCTCTTACTCCCTAAGTTTAGTTGTTACGCATCCAATTCCCAGTGGATCCTGTCTCAGCGATGAATCGTCAGCCAATCAGAGCAAAGAAAATTTCTATTTCAAGCCTCGTTAACGGATCAAGCTGCAGCCTAGAGATGTGCAGGAGTAGGTCCCATTACTGTATACCCGAAGGCAGCATCTACTACTGCTGAACATGTAGACAACTTTTAGACAGTGAGAGAAACTGTGTTTGTAGCGTAGACCTCTTTCTACTGGATACGGATTGGCTGAAATTTGTCCCCTCTTGTTTTTCTCAGTGCGCACTTCCAGGCCCAGACCTGTGGTCACTGGTCGTTATGCTATCGTAATTGATTATATCTCTCTCTCTCTCTCTCTCTCTCTCTCTCTCTCTCCCTCTTATCACTCTTAGAGCTTTGGAGGCGTTGGAGGTTGCATATACATATGTACTACGATTATAGTACTACCTTCGGAATCACACAGGCGTCATTTATAATACAGTAGAGACCCTTTCATCCGAAGGTTTATTTTGTTACACGTTCAGCAATAACAGATACACTGCCTTCGGATATTGTATATGCCCTAAACAGAGCTCGAAATTAACTGTATATAGACACAATGGGGGCAACCATCGTTGCTATAGTGATAACGTGGCTCCATCTGTGATGTCACGGAAGAGCAGTTCAACAGGGTAGAGGTAGAGGGCAGCAGGGTTGCCAGAAATGCTCTAGCGTTCGTGATCGGTCACGTCGNTTAGTTCCGCTGGAAGGAGCAGCTGCCGTATTATTGACGGATGTTTGATGTCCTGGCGATGGTCCGAGCGGTACCATTTTTGTTAATTATTCCGATCGATGTATCAACAATTTATATGGAATAGAACACAGTGCGTACATATGAATGAAGGCTATGATAAATCACACGAGGAAACACTGACGATTCGCGGTGTTTTTGCCATTCGAAATTCTCATTAAAGTCCAGAAGCAATGTACACTTGCACGTTAGAGAACAACCAAATTTATTCGTAATCGATCGTTCAAATAAATGTATTTGACAATATTCTCAAGTTGTAACGTGCGTAGAGTTCTTCATTAAATATATCGTTTTACATTCTTCAGATCACCAATGCACATGTGATCGAGAAACATCTTGTGTTGACTATTGCTACCTACCGAGCGTCGAACTACAGAATTCGAAGTTTGTAAGAAAGTCTGAAACTTCGATATGTTTTTATCGATACAATATGTTTTTAATTTTTGTTTTCGTCTTCTGTTATTAGGAAATATGTACATCGATAGATCAGTATCCTATGAAGTAGTATCTTTGAATTGTTTGCGAATATGTATCTCGGTACATGCATATACATACTAAATGTACATATGTGTACACATATAAGACAGAAAACAATAAAACCGCTACCTTCGTGACATTCGAGGATCTGTGGCGGTGGCGGTCTGCAGCAGCAGTATGCAAACCTGCAGTGTTACAGTGACCTGCACGCCTCTGCTGGCAAACATCAAAACTGACCAAAACTAGCATCATGTATGTACCACCTTAGAGACCCATCGATCTTAGAACATATAAACCTTAGAGCATATACAGTAATGGGACCTACTCCTGCACGCTTCTCTTACTCCCTAAGTTTAGTTGTTACGCATCCAATTCCCAGTGGATCCTGTCTCAGCGATGAATCGTCAGCCAATCAGAGCAAAGAAAATTTCTATTTCAAGCCTCGTTAACGGATCAAGCTGCAGCCTAGAGATGTGCAGGAGTAGGTCCCATTACTGTATACCCGAAGGCAGCATCTACTACTGCTGAACATGTAGACAACTTTTAGACAGTGAGAGAAACTGTGTTTGTAGCGTAGACCTCTTTCTACTGGATACGGATTGGCTGAAATTTGTCCCCTCTTGTTTTTCTCAGTGCGCACTTCCAGGCCCAGACCTGTGGTCACTGGTCGTTATGCTATCGTAATTGATTATATCTCTCTCTCTCTCTCTCTCTCTCTCTCTCTCTCTCCCTCTTATCACTCTTAGAGCTTTGGAGGCGTTGGAGGTTGCATATACATATGTACTACGATTATAGTACTACCTTCGGAATCACACAGGCGTCATTTATAATACAGTAGAGACCCTTTCATCCGAAGGTTTATTTTGTTACACGTTCAGCAATAACAGATACACTGCCTTCGGATATTGTATATGCCCTAAACAGAGCTCGAAATTAACTGTATATAGACACAATGGGGGCAACCATCGTTGCTATAGTGATAACGTGGCTCCATCTGTGATGTCACGGAAGAGCAGTTCAACAGGGTAGAGGTAGAGGGCAGCAGGGTTGCCAGAAATGCTCTAGCGTTCGTGATCGGTCACGTCGCGTCGGTAAACTACGCTGCCCTCTGTTCCTACACTGCTGAATTTCTCGACCGTGACGTCACGGCTGGAGTCACGTGACATTGAGGGCATTCGAAGGCATAGCGACGTTGACATACGATTACACATACTGTTTGTATACACATGTAGTGTATACAGTGTACCTACTACAAGAAACTACAGTATGTTGAGCTGTACAATAGAATTAGGAAAAAAATAAAAGACAATCAGTATGTGTCAGTATGTCCGATAGAATACAAATAGAATCCGGCACGCAATTGTTGGCAAGATTAATCCGTAGACCAAACCTACGAAGCCTCGAGGGCGCTTTGTTTCCGGAAGGACCTGGAAATACAGACGTTATAGAAATAAATGGAATACGTTCAACCGGCAAAACTCTTCTTCTTTCTCAACTGCTTGCAAAATGCATCCTGCCAGATTATGATGGGGCCGTTCATATTAAAGGTTGCGACGCTTCGGCTGTGTTGATTAATACAGACCACCATTTCCAAATTACGAATTTGGTCGAAATAATGACTGATATTATAAATACAGCTTATGCTCCACTCGTTACGTTGAATTCGATCGACACAAATACAAGGAATATAAATATTCTACGAAATTCTCTACAAAATCTACATATAATAAATTGTTACCACAGCGAACAGTTTCGTGTGACGTTGCGTACATTGGACAATATATTTCTTAGTAATGCTCAAACTGCTCTCTTAGCAATCGATAGTCTAACAGCATATTATTGGCAAGATCGTGAAAATAATTTCACCTCGATTGATGCCTACATAAAAAAGTTGTTGAAGATTATCAGATTACATACAAATCTATGTAAGGTAACAACAATATATACAAAATCTTGGGAGAGTATCATAAAATGCAAAAATAACAAATCTACGATCAAATACTCGACGAATACTGTAGAGTACAGAATACATTTACGCAAAACAAAATGTTTGTACAATCATATTTGTATATTAGAAACTGAAGAAACCATTAAAAAAATGTGTTATCGTATGTCGGCAAATGGTGTCAAATGGGAAACTGATTGAGAAAAAGGATAATTTCCATTGTATTTACAAATTTTGTTAAAACAGTACATCAATGGAACAATATTTTATCCATTATATCCAATGGATTTAACAATCTAGATCCTGCCAACATTATACGTGGTGTTTTATTCTGACCGCGATTTAAAGCAATTTCCTGTATTAATTTTGCCTCCTCCGCAGTAAACCCTCCAATAATGAATAATAAAATATTGGAATTGTCGCGTGGATGACGCTTTGCTTTACCCCTTAACAGTAGGCTACGATATACAAGAAATACATTACGTTCGAATACAATTGCGATAAAATTGATTATGCTCAAATATTGTTAAACTTGTACTTACTTAAAGCCAGCTGAAATTAAAGATGGCGTTCGTTGACGTAGGTCCCGTAATTCTCGAGTCTTGTCAGCGAAAAGTATATCCTTAGCTATCTGTTCCAAAATACTAACATACTGGATTGTTTCTTTCGAAGTTGACTTGATCATGAGATCTCTACGAACGGTAAATGTTTGATTCAGTAAAATTACATCTACAATTTCTGATATCACATTTGAAAATTTACCTGTAATCTTGTAGCAACGAACGTTGTTTCGCTATTAATCGAAGAGTGCGAAGGATACGTGCTGCTATTTTATACGACGTTTCTCGCGCAGCAGCCGCATTGTTTATTCCTTACATAAAAATAATTAAAATAAATTATTTGCAGTTTATAGCATTCGAATGATGTAGCGTGCAATGTATACCCAACAATAACAAAGATCGCTGAGAAGCAGATATTTTGTTGGTCGATGGATTCTTTTCAAAAATTTCGAAATCTTCAAAAATTGCATCTGCAATCGATTGCTCCAATTGTTGTTCTTGTTGTGTAGGAAAGCGAATTTGCGTTCCCGTTAAGGCGTAAACGTGTATTAACAATGCCAACAAATTTTCAATGTTGAGACCTCTATGAAGTCGTGTTCGTATAACGTTACTCAACTGGAAAGATCACTTAATTGACTTTAACTTGTAAACCTTGCAAAAGCTTGGTTAAAACAGTATTACTGATTATACTTGCGCGAGTATACTAGACGATTCGCGGCTCGCAGAAAGATTCTGTAATGCCAGTTTCTCTAAGCTGGTAAGTAGTTCAAATTGACTGGTTTTCTGCGATGTTGATGCTTCGACTATCGCCATAATACTCTGCATTATGAAAAACTCTGCTGATTGAAAACGATCAATACATATCCTATAGCTACACAAAAGAAGATCCTACGAAATCACCTGCACTTTCTCTGTATGGACGATCATAGAATCAATGATATTCATATTTTGAAGTTTGCTAACAGCCCTTTCTAAACTGTGACCCGATATTCTCATTGGTGTTCTTAACTTTGTACTATCCTTCATGGAAGTTATATCATTCAGCATTTGATTTGCTGCAGTTAACAATTTTTTTTCGCTTTCTAAGATAAAGAGATCGATCGTAGCTTTCTCTATGCTTGCCAAACATCCTGGTACATCGTACGTTTGTAATATTCCCTTCGTACGCATATGAAAAGATACGGTGATTTAATCGAGACTATCAAAGCAAATGCAACTTGTAAAATATACAAACATATCGAATTTTACGCTACCTCTACCAGTCCAAATGCAGGAGATGTATTAATTGCTACATCATTGTTGTGCTGTGGCAAACGCGGAAGTGCTCCCAATATTTTAGTAAGGAATGACTCCATATTATTGCTAGTAGGAGTACAGAGATCTAATGTTCTGTCTATTAAGATAAGGGACACTCCTGTTTCTACAACTTCCGATGAATGCTATAAAAAATAAAAATGAACAGTTAGCATTACATTTTGTTACATCATTATTTTGTTACTTACATTTGGATAAGTGCTATTTGTAAAACAATTTTCCAAAATTTCGGCAAAGAGATCGCTTAATTTTCCAATAGAATATACATCTAATTTGATATTTATATTATCAAATAATTTGTAAAATGAATTTGCTATAAGGTATATTTCAGCAGATAGATCTTCTGGAATACTCGAGTCTAAAGATGGCATTAAATCTCCAAACGGAGGTGTTACAAACAGATAGTCGTTTAAAGGAGCAATCAGAAAAGGTACATGGATGACGTTAACAGAAGGATCCTACAAATGAATTTATAACACTTAAAACGAGATGTAAAAAACATTGTTGATCTGTGAACAAATCATGATAATCAACAACTGTGACCAGATTGTAGACTTTATGCGTTAAAAATATATGTCAACGCGTGCAACAAGTTAAAATGCAGTGGTTCTTTAATAAAGTTTGTTCCTTTCTTATTTCGTGCGTATATTATATCAATGAATATAATAAAATCTATTATTATTTGTTAACGCATAGGTAAGATATGCTTCCGTTTGATTGTTTCATGTTAGAAAACAGTTCACAAAAATACAAATACGCATAAGTCTACAGTCTAAGGGCAACAACGTAAAGTATAAATAAATGATAAACGAACTTGTGATAAATTTTTTGAAATCATCCACAGTTCGATGTCCCTTTTTAATTTAATATAATTCAATTTGTCTTGCGCAGAATGATTTCCATGATAATTGGTAGTGCAACAAGGAATGCTACAATATACCGTGCAACCGTTGAACGCATTTTTTGCTAAAATCATTTTAATCGTTCGCTGATAAAATGCTGGATTGCCAGCAGTTGATACGATAACAGCTTTCTTAGCACCTTTCACCTCTGGATACTAGAAATAATGAATATTAACGATGAAAATTATGAATTAAGTGTTTAGATTGTTTCTTTAGATTTATGCCAATGTATAAATTATATACAGACTCGAAAGTGATACATGCCGAGCTCGTGAACTGCGATTGCACCAGCATTTTTCAAAGCCATGTAACCCTTGCCACCTGCATACCAATGTAAACATTCTGTCGCATATTGGTCTATATAAACTACAGCGTCGCGTACTTCTGTAAAGATAGCTTCCCAACATTTTGAATTGTATTTCTTCATCTCAAAAATAATGTTTGTCATTTTCTTTTCTCTTCCTGCTTTCCTTAGGTAATTCTTCAGATCGACTGGCTTCTTATTGCCTTGAACACACCAATATGTACCTTCTTATCTTTTTCTCTACTATTCCTCTAGTTGTTAAACGTTGACTGAAAGTTGTGACGTTTGACGTTCGACTACAATTAATCGGTACAAATAGAAAAAGCATTAATTATTACAAATGATGATAAAACGTGTATGTCTTTTATAAAAAATAACTCGTTTATAAACCACGAATTACGAGATACTATCACGATGTAGCGATAAAAACCCGAACTACATACGTAAATCTCTTCTATATACCTGCATCTGTATCAATTTGTACCATACATGCTGTATCAGTATGCACCACAAATACAAGACTGCTGAAAAATATTAATTATGTACATACAATAATGGGACTTACTCCTGCATGCTTTTCTTACTCTCTAAGGTAGCGCGCACATCTCACTATTTTACCGAGCAACCAATCCGGAGTGAATCCTGTCTGAACAGTGAATCGTCAGCCAATCGAAGCGAAGAAAATTTTTCTGTCGGCCCTCGCTTACAAATCAAGCTTTGGCACAGAGGTGTGCAGGAGTAGAAATCATTACTGTATGCGTATGTACGTATATGTATTATACTGTGAAATGCATCGTCGTGCTGATATGTACCTCGTCCGTATGCGTACACTTAACCGACTGTAGAGAATTCTTAGAAATTATTTGATTTTGTCGGTAAATTTGTCGAACAGTTTGAGTGTTTTGCCACTACGTGGGTTTGATGTTTTACGAACTTTTGAATGAAACGTGGTAAATTTGAAGTGTTATATGTCAGATTCACATGTTACATCATAATTGAATTTTTGAACTTTTGTGTGCTTACTAGTAAAGCTAGAAATATCGGTATATTGTTCCTTTGAAACTGCATAGCTAGTACGTACTACAATCTCAAATAAGGATAGCTTATACATCTTGCCCACACGTACGTAACCTCGCGTAGATGGTTCATCTTTGGAGATTATCTGAAACCGTGTATAGGTGTACATATGACACCTATATGTCTTATGATCTAAAATCTAAGGGTAATTGTACAGGGTTGGATAAAACTCCGCCATCCTAGAGTCAAATTAACTTTGATAAACATTTTCATCGTTCAGACATTTAAATTGCAGTGTGCAAAAAAATGCAAGATCGAGATTTTATATTTACATGAAATTGGAGAAAAGCCTTCGAGGGGCTACGCGACATCTCCTACATTCCTCAATTAGTCTAAATTAGAATTTCCATGAACACTCTCTGTGCCTTACCTAGTCTAAGCTTTGTATGTATTGCGCCCGGATGAAAATATGTATACATCTATGAAATATACGATTACGACTTAATTTATGTTATATTTTACATTTGAATTTCCCTCCTATCGTCATTGGTCGGTGCAAATGGTGCAGAAGCAATACTGTTAATCGTAACTATGTTCGCGTTGTCTCGCAACGGTATACGTATGTGCATACATACATATTATGTACGCATATTTCGTGCATCGATATTTACTTTTCGATTTAAAGTTCAAGTCTACAGCCATTTATCGAAGAAAATTCTAACCTAAAACAGAAAATGATCGTGCGTCGGTGGGAGTGTTGTTTCGAAATAAAAGGGGCAACAATGAGGAACCGTGATTCTATGAGAGACCTTTAACCAAGAATCATTGAAATACGTTCGTCTGGTGTAAGAAATACTGCTATATTCTGAAAAAAACAGAGAGTTTTGATAGAATCTGTTCTACGTAATTTGACTCTTGTACTTCGTGACGTTCAACCTATTCCGTTTGAAGGTGTGTTTTCCAACTATTTTCTAGTAATTTCAGTTACACAAGGAGGACACAAAGATATATCGCGTATTAATCGATACAGGTGTGCTGCTTATATTGGTTTGACAGTAATATGCAACTTTCTTATTATTTGAGCGACGTCGTAGAAAGATTTGGAAATATTGTACAATTTAATGAGCATTAAAAAAATCATGTACAGGTAGCTGTGTTTATTCGACATCAGAATATTTGTATTTTCAGGTATGCTAAGTAATGTCGTCTGCAAACAGTATAGAATCTTTGGGAACGTTACAGTGGGACATGATCGAATTAGCGAGTCATCTGCGTCAAGAACGGTTGTTTGTCAGTTCGGAACAACAGAATTTACAAATACTCAATGAAAAGGTACGCGTATCGATCGACAGTCGATAGAAAGTTGACCGCTAGAATCGTGTATGATTTCAGGTGTTATACGCTTCGTCGAACTTGGCTCAGCAAGCATGGATCACGGCGCAACAGAGAGTGAATCTGAATCGATTGATAATGTCCAGACCAGATTGTACACCCGCGTCTTGCTGTCAGAAAGCGAATACATTGGAGAATTCACATTTTGTGGATGCATATAAATATCTACGTTATCAGGCTTGCTTATCGTACGGAGAATTCTTAGGAGCTCTTAGAAAGTCTCCGAAACTTCTTGCTTTATGTTTAGTGGAAGGAGAAAAATTATCACCGGATTCGGTGCAAAATATTGTTCAGTCGTTAGCAGCAGGATTATACGGTAGCTGCTTACTTCCAGAGGATAAAATTTTAGTATTAAAACTGTTGCGACATCTGATGTTGCTTCAAATTGTACCATCGGATAATCCTCGCAGATTACTCAGACACGGCACCTGTGCATTTTCCAGGTTCTACTCGGTCTTTCACGAGAGCGTTTTTTCAGCAAAATTTTTCTTAACCGCTGCATTACACAATCCTATCGTACAGTTACTAATGGAGGATGAAATGTTTCTTGACATCGATCCGGACAAAGCGCCTATAAGATTTCCTCCATCCGAAAGATTGAAAAAGTTTGGTAAAGATGGTACTCCCGAATACGAAGCAAAGTTGCAGCGTCACAGATTGTGGACAATTAATTCTTTGTTTCGAATAACACAAAGATTCATAGTCAGCATAAGAGAGAATATGCACTGTTTTCCGAGTAGCGTGTGCTGGTTGGTCAGACAGATGGCAGGTCTTTTGGGGAAAAATGGGAGTATCGATGCAAAAGAGGTGCACGCAATGTGTACAGATTTGGTTTTCACTTATTTCATATGCCCAGCGATAGTGAATCCAGAACCGTACGGTATTACAGACGCCCCCATCAGTTACGTTGCAAGATTCAATCTTATGCAAGTTGGACAAATTCTGCAAATGCTCTCCCTAATGAAGTATCAAATCGTGGATAGCAAAACGTTTGATCTTTACCGAAAATTTGACAAGGATTCTGTGTCTTCGATAATAGATGCAATGGTAGATAGCGCGACAGAAGAACTCGAGGATGAACCCAATATCATCGATAGTAACAAGTTGAGGGGACTTTCCCGTTCCGCGGCTTTATTCACAGAAGCAGAGTTGAATGCGCTGGTTACATTTCTACAAACCGTAGCTGCATACACCGGAGCGGAGACCGATGTACAGTCTAGCATGTTCGATGCAAAACAGTTGATCGATATGCTCTCTCAGTTACCACCCGGTTCATTAACTAATAATAAACTGAATAACAATAATGCATGCGTCGAAAATAGCAATAGACGCGGAGGTTTTCTAGGAAAAGGTGATTATTTACCACCGTCATTACCGGTGGACGAGAAATTGAACGATTTCGAGTACTGTTACCTATGTTCTATTCGTTACAGGGAAAGGCTCTGGAGCAAGAGTATCGTCGTCGTCATCGTATTCGTCTAATGCGACCAACGATGGTGGAGACGAGATGAACGGTGTTACGACCCCCGAAGAGGAATCGATCGACAAAAGTTCTCAGGACGTTCTTGTGATTCCGTTTGGACCGAACGTGGGAGAATTTGTAGGACTTCTCAGTGAACAAAAAGTATGCACTGTATTGGAAATAGAAAAAGTTATTATACAACGTTATTAGTCAACCTCGCCAATTCATTGTCATCGTACGTTTTCTTTTCGACGATACACAGGTACTGTGCACGGAACTTGAAAGTAACTTGGAAAATGGATCGGTCACTTTGAATCTTTCGGATGCTATAAGGAACGTGCACGACACTCGGGAAAGTTGCAGCGGCGAACGTATCGAAACACAAGAGAAAAAGACACGGTTTTCGTTGTCCCACGACGAAGGTATATATATACTGTGTATTTTTCCGCAGGGTTCAACGAGACGAAGTGGAATGACAATTGTCAAACGTCGACGGGACTATACTCGATCGAACTAGTTTATTAGACTACACCGTAATATGCACACCCGCACAGATATATGTGTACACGTATACATATATAATACATTTTATTTCTATTAGAAGGAAACCTCTTATTAACGTGACATACTGTTAGTTTTATTCGAAGGTTTCATTGGGAATACTTCGGATAATTTGGAAGCTGTGTCGGAAGCTGCCTCGAATCACAGTGTTGCTTCTTCCCTTGAATTAGAAACGGAGGATCAAAACGATAATTTGTCGGATATGGTGTCGGCTAGTGTTTCAGGCCGTGGGACACCGAACATATCAGGTGCGACGATACGATATCTCTGTAGAGAGTGAAACACGCAGCAAACGATAAAGAGAACGTTTTCGCGTTCGTATGTATGTGTGTGTAGGTCGCGATACACCGTCGTCGCAGATCACCGAGGGAGACGATGGTCGAGCAACCGGTGAAGCACGACAGCTGGATTTACCTCCACCGAATATACCAACGAAACAAAGCCGGTCCGAAATAGACGACAAGTTTTGTAAATTTGAAATAAAGAAGTTGATCGAAGGTAATTTGGAACAACGAACGAGGAAAAGTAGGCTAAAAGAATCAAAGAAATCGAATTCCACCAGCGTGTTTATCATATTTCTATTTATATTTGCAGGAGACGAGACTGTCTCGATGGTGTCTGACACGTGGTCGACGGATGTTTTGGCTTCGGACAGCGAGATGGTCGAACAGCAAGAAAAGATAACGTATCCTCCGTCGAGTGAACAAAATGTTCCCATTTTATCGGCAACGTCAGAATCAATTCCGCAGGCTGTGTTAGACGTCAGCGAAACAGCATCCGAAGCATGGAGTACCGATGTATTGGCCAGCGATTCAGAGAGACTGACGGAAGTTGATACCGATGATACCGCTAGCGTCGCTAGGTATCTTCTAAACATGAAATTCGTAGAAACTCTTGCTATTACATTGTACATACGATAACGAACGGTTGCGCGTGCGTATGTTACGCTATTGTTTCGATTCGTAGGTCCGACGATACCGCGAGATCCGAAATTGAAGTTGAGGCACGCAGCGAAGCAGAAGCTACCGAGGAGACCCTGTCCCAGACAATTCCTCGTAAGAATTCGATTATTTTCTATATTTTATTTTGTGTTTATAAAATATCTATCGTATTTTCCTTTTGTCCACTATTATTTAGAACATGGTACGATATCGAGCGAGTGTGTGTCAACGATCACCTGTTTCGAAACGATATCGATCAACAGAGAGGGAGCGCAATTTTCAGCAACCGTTTCTTCGTCACCGGTAATGTCACCCTCGGTGCCCTCGACGAATGTGGCCGGTCGAAACGAAAACGGAAGGGAATATCGAACAAGCACGGTAGAATATGTCGATAAAAACGCCAACAACATCGGTAACGTTACTTCGGATTACATCGATAAATCATTGCGGGAAGATCGATTGGTCCATCTGATAGACAAACTTCACATCGACAATGGAAAATGTCAGATGGAACGGCAAACAAGCTCGTCCGGCAATCATATAGGAATTGCAGCTGTTGCGCCGGCTTTACTACTAGCTAATCATATCTCGCCTCCAATTTTGTCGAGTATGGAAAAGACGTGCAACAACAATGCGAAATCAGTGGTCTGTTTATTCTTTGTTGCAATCATTGTATATCGACTATTAACTACTATTTCTGTGTTCTCAATTGTGTGTCTAGGAATTTGGAAAAATCGACGGTGGTGGTGGTGGTGGTGATGGTGGTGACGGTGGCGATGGCGATGGCGATGGCGATGACGATGGCGATGGCGATGGCGATGGCGATGGCGATGGCGATGGCGATGGCGATGGCGATGGCGATGGCGATGGCGGTGACGGTGGCGG